AAAACTAAAATAAGACTATACATGAAAAAGTGTCTGTTAGGCAAGACATGTTTATTTATACAGCACCTTTCATAGACTGGGGTCGTTCACAGAGCTTTACAGATGAGAAAAAACAAAGACAATTCAGCCTTGTGACCGGAAGGTCGTCAGTTCTATCCCCTCAGCCGACTGAAGTGCCCTTGAGCACCTAACCCCCGACTGCTCCACGGGCGCTGTGGATAGGGCTGCCCACCGCTCCGGGCAAGTGTGCTCACTGCCCCCTAGTGTGTGTGTTCACTAGTGTGTATGTGGTGTTTCACTGCATGGATGGGTTAAATGTGGAGGTGAAATTTCCCTGTTGTGGGACTGATAAAGGTCACTTAGTCTTAATCTATATATACCACCCAGCAATTTGTAAGTATATATATATATATATATATATATATATATATACTTACAAATTGCTGCTGTCAGAACAAAACCTTGTATCTCCATTTTTGTCCTTTTTCAGTTTTTGTCATAATTTGAAAAAGCCAAAATGACTTGACTTACATTAAAAGTAAAGTGTGTTTTTTCCTTCTCCTGTAAAGTTTCCATTTTGGGGATGTGAGGTTTTGTTTTTTGTTCAAAATGTAAAATGTAGATATTTGTGCCAACATTTTTGACAGTGCTACCTTTCAAATGACTCCGTCCGTGCCCTACTGTACATGTTAGCTTTATTTTGTGTACATATTTGCTTGTGTATTTGTTGTTCAGGTGAGACCTGGAACCCTCTCAAGATGTATTTCCAGCTGCCGCAGGTCCGAGAGCGTTTGGCGAAGAGCCTGGTGGAGAAGGGCGTTCTGACCACAGGGAAGCAGAACTTTGTACTGTTCGACATGACAACACACCCACTGGTCAACAACAAAGAGAAGGAGCGTCTGCTTCAGAGGCTGCAGGCCAGTAGCTCCCTAATACTCCCGCATTACAGGCTGTTCCTCAGTGGGCTGTTCCTCAGCTGTTCCTTCTTGTTCAACAATAGACCAATGTTCTGGCTGTTCCCCAGTGGACGAGCAGTGCAGCTGTTCCCTAACACACACACACACACACAGTCCAGTTTTTCCCCAGTACACGTTCATTACCACACTCAGTGCATGAGCGTTAAATAAAATGAAAAGAACCAGTGAACACAAATCATTTCTGCTGCTGAATAAGTACACTAACAGCCGTGACTCTGAACTCTCCTATAGGCCAGTCTTCTGGATCGGTGGACGAATGACCCCCACCGCCTGCCCCGCCGGACCCTGGCCCTGCTGGTGCTGGCCCACGGCTCCGATGTCCTCGAAAGATCGCTCACGTCGCTTCCTGATGACCGCTATGAAATCGCCAGCTGCCGGGCCAAAGACATGCTGGAGGGGGACATCGAACAGCAGAGCGCAAAGGTCACGACCCCTGCTGAGGAGGTCATCTGGGCTGTGTTGGCCGCCTTAAACAGAGCCTGAAATGAAGAAAACATCCACAGCGCCCCCTACTGACAGACTGAAATGAACATTATTTATAACGCACATTTAAAACATCAGAGGTTGTTATGACAGATCTAAGATTGATTAAGAAACAGAAGAAATTGAATTCTCAGGTTCTCAGGGAATCCTGAACCAGCTGACGTTCCTCAGACTGCTTTTCACAGGATCTGCTCATAATGGAAAAGCTGACGTTCCCAGTGTACAGCCGTCAGGAACTCTAGTACTTTCCTTTAGTACTACATGAGCAGTGTGTTTACCATCATGATGAAGTATTTTACATTGATATCTACAATCCCCATCCACTTTATTAGAAACACCTACTGGCCACTTTATTAGAAACACCTTCCTTCTGCTTCCACACACTGGCCACTTTATTAGAAACACTAATGTTGTGCTTCCACTCACTGGCCACTTTATTAGAAACACCTCCTTTCTCTTCCACTCTGTTCAGACAGATGATATGGTGTAATGTGTTTTGTACAGTAACGTTTGATCTGTTTTCCTTTTCATATTCAGTCAGATTTGTGAATGTATATTTTTGAATGGGAATGGGAGACGCAGCAGCTCCTTCACATCTGGTTAAAAAATCTTAGAAAGAATGTAGGTCTTCTGTTTATGGATTAATGGATTATTATGGCATTTTGTTCCTATTTTGTGAATTTGTGCTGATGAGTGTGTTAATTTCCTGTTTTACTGAATTAATTTGACTGTATTCCCTGTTTTCCTTGAAGTAAAGTTGTGCTGGTGTCAGTCTCTGTAGAAATGGCTGTAATTATTACAGACACTAAATTTCCTCCTGTAGTTTAATGAGCTGGAATGTAAAGCTGTAAAGCTCAGTGTTTGTATGACGAGGGTTAAACTCAGTCCAGCTGTCCAGACACTCGGCAGGCTCAGCTTTTATCTGCAGTGATTTTACTGAAACAACGAGGGGACTGCTGTGGTCTGTTGTGTGTTGCTCTTCTGTGTACTGACCACTAGATGACGACAAAACACAGCACAACAGAGACTGTTTACTGATGAGATGAAAAAAAACAAATAGAACTGTTCACAGTGGTGGTGATAGGAACCAGACGTCCACCTCTAAAAGTTCCCTCACAGAAAGTTCCTACATGAAATGGTTATGAATTCACTGCCTGATGACTGAGACACTGTTTTATGATAGTTTAGAGAACTTAAACTCCATTCATGGTGGAGGGATACATGCAGGGCGCTGTGAGGCAAAATAGTCCCCAAAGAAAACTTATTATTTCAGATTTTCCACTATTTTCCATCATCAACATTCATATAAACTCAGAAGACTCGTGTAGGTTCACTGGTGGTTCTGGATAGTAAATAAAATGTCTATATTTGTGTTGTAGTCATGGCGACCCCTGGTTCCTATCACCACCACTGTAAAGACATCTGAACCATTTCACACCAAGCCACTCTGAATCTCTCTGTCACACACTGAATTATGGGGGAATTTTGAGAAATCAATCCTTTTTACTAGTAACTTTTTAGTTATTATTAAAAGGTTTTAGCAGGCACAGTTTTACAATAACTATCATGTAATACAGCATATTAAACACATTAAACCCCTGAGGAACTGATGGATTAAGTTCACAATCAGGTTGAGTCTGAACTACAACACGTTACAGAGAGTAATGAGAGTAAAATAAAAGAGATTTAACTGAGCTAAACAGCTTAAACGGTTAATTCAGCATGTTTACAGTCAGTAATGCAGTCACTTTGCTTTATTTCTGGAAATTATAAGGACACATTGTTCACATAATTAACCAGATCACACTGGTATCTCTTCAGACATGGACATTCTAGCAGACGAGAATAACTGCGGTGATGAGCTGAACCCAACAAGGAGACCAGTTAGACCAGTTCTCCCAGCGCTGCTCCTGTATTTACCCTGTCCTTCACGTTTTAGTGCTGCTCCTGCTTTAACGCACCATCGTTAGGAGCTTTGATGAGCTGGTTCAGCTGTGTTAGAGCAGGAAAACTAGAACATACAGACACAGGGAGAAGAACACTCAGCACTGTGGAGCTGTTTGCTCTGATTTCATCAGGCCAGTGTGGTAACAAATGGCTTAAAAGCAGAACACAATGGACTTAACATCGCACAAAAACAGGATGAGCACACAGATTAAGTATTTCTCAGACTCTCTGTGTTGAGTCATATTAGACCGAATGTCAGTCAGCGACCAAGAGCCCAATGTTTACTGATCACACTGACATCTTAAATGTGGTTATTATATCTGAAACTTTCATTATGAGACTGTTTGAGAATATTTAACATATTTTGAGACATTTTCACAGTTTTTATCTCATGAAGTGTTGGATTCCATAAGAATTCCATTTAAGATATGCGTCTTATTTAATCTATTTCTAGACATTTTTATGTGCTTTATGACGTTTTATCTGCTGGAAGCATCTCACTGCATTGACAGATTGTTTTAGTGGTTTTGAGAAATAATTGAGATAATTTTGCTTATTACACTGCAGAAAATGGTGTCTTATCAAGTAAAATTATCTTAGATATAGTCAGTAGTCACTAATATTTCCTCCTGTTGAGATTGAAAGCTTAATTTAAGATTATTTAACTTATTTTCAAACATGTTTACCTGTTTTAAGTGATTTTATTTAGTTAAATGATCTCACTATACTGGCAGATGATTGTGTTTGTTGTAAGAAATGAGCTTGAAACCAGCAAAATGATCTGACAGCATAGTGAGATCATTTTACTGAATAAACTGACCTAAAACAAGTGAAAAATGTCCAGATTAAAAGGTAAATAATTTAATAAAAATAGATTAAGCTCACAACAATCCCAACAAGAGAAAGATTTATTAGATTTTATCATCAATATTTAAGAATAATAGAATAAAACTACCTAAAATAAGTAACTAGTGTCTAGAAATGAGCTAGATAATTTTATTAATTAGATGTATTATTCTTTATTAGATGTATTTTGTGGTGAAAATGCAGAAGCAGCTCATCAAAGACTGCAAAATCATGACAGACAGAGCTGGTAAAGAGGAACAGCATCACAAGGCTGAGCTCACAGATGTTTCACAGGATAGTTGCTAAACTACAGCCTCAGAAAATGACCACAGCACTGAATCAGCAGCGGCTACAAAATCTGATCCCTGCACACTTCAGACGGCTGGAGGTCAGAGCTCCACCTTCTGGACACAGAGTCCATTTATTCGCCAGAGGAGTGACCGCAGAAAAGGGTGTCTTATCAAGAGAAATGATCTTAAATCCAGTCGATAATCCATTATTACAAGATTATCTCACTTATTTCTACACCCTTTTAAGTCATTTTACTCAGTAAATTTATCTCACTATATTGGCAGATACATTTTCTTATTTCCAGAAATGTGCTTTAAACAAGTCTCCCAGAAAAGTGAGATAAATGTACTAAATAAAGTCACTTTAAACAAGTAAAAACATCTGGGAATAAGTTCAATAATCTTATAATATTCCTACAACAATCTAGAAATGAGAAATATCAGATACATTGACTAGATCTAAGATCATTTCACTGGTTAGAGCTGAAAGATTAATTGGTTTTCACATCACAGCAGCTGCGATTTTAGTCATAACCTACATTTCCAACATGTTTTCTGTGGGAAATGTAACCTAATCACACTGTAGATGAGTCAGACCAATCAGACCGAACCAGACACACACAATGTGCACATGACAACACAACCACCACCCACCGGCACACGACGCTCGGTGTTGAAACAGCCTGAAATAGCTGACATGCTGGCTTTGTGGCCGCCTGCATTAAACATCTTATTAATCTTCAGTTAAATCTGTACAGGAATCACGTTAAACAGTCACGGATTTTAGTTTCACTTTCCTCTTAAACGTTTCACATTCACACGATCACAGTCACTATGGTGGTCATCTTAAAGTGTTAATGAGTTATTTCCCCAAATCGTTCAGCCCGTAAAACGACACCTTAGCGAGTGAAAACATCTTAAACGTGGCCGATATTTCTAATATTTCTCATTAGAAGGCTGCTTAAGAATGTTATGAGATTATTTAACATATTTCTGTACATTTTTATTTGTTTTAAGTACATTTATCCAGTCAAAGCGTCTTCACTGTAAAAAATGGTGTTTCGTCACCACTGAGAGGAACCAAGACTCGAAAGGAGAACCTCCCTAAGAACACAAGGAAGAAGCACTGACTCAAAGGAGAACCTCCCTAAGAACATGAGGAAGAATCACTGAGAGGAACCAAGACTCGAAAGGAGAACCTCCCTAAGAACATGAAAACGAACCACTGAGAGGAACCAAGACTCAAAATGACAAACTCCCTAAGAACACAAGGAAGAAGCACTGACTCAAAGGGGAACCTCCCTAAGAACATGAAAAAGTACCACCGACAGGAACCAAGACTCAAAATGACAAACTCCCTAAGAACATGAGGAAGAACCACTGAGAGGAACCAAGACTCAAAGTTAGAAATTCTCTAAGAATATGAGGAAGAATCACTGAGAGGAACGAAGACTCAAAGGAGAACCTACCCTAAGAGCATGAAAAATATGAATGGAATATGAGGAAGAACCACTGACAGGAACCAAGACTCAAAATGACAAACTCCCTAAGAACACAAGGAAGAAGCACTGACTCAAAGGAGAACCTCCCAAAGAACATGAAAAAGAACCACTGACAGGAACCAAGACTCAAAATGACAAACTCCCTAAGAACACAAGGAAGAAGCACTGACTCAAAGGAGAACCTCCCTAAGAACATGAGGAAGAAGCACTGACTCAAAGGAGAACCTCCCTAAGAACATGAAAAAGTACCACCGACAGGAACCAAGACTCAAAATGACAGACTCCCTAAGAGCATGAGGAAGAACCACTGAGAGGAACCAAGACTCAAAGTTAGAAACTCTCTAAGAATATGAAGAAGAAGCACTGACTCAAAGGAGAACCTCCTAAGAGAACACGAAGGAGAACCACTGAGAACAACCAAGACTCAAAAGGGAGAACCTCCCTAAGAGCGTGAGGGAGAACCACTGAGAGGAACCAAGACTCTAAAGGAGAAACTTCCTAAGAGCATGAGGAGGAACCTCAAAAGGAGGTTCTCTCCAAACAAGAGGAAGAACAACTGAAAGAAACCAAGACTCAAAAGGAGAACCTCCCAGAGCACACGAAGGAGAACCACTGAGAGGAACCCAAGACTCAAAAGAAGAATCCACCTAAGAGCATGAGAAAGAACCACTGATAAGAACCAAGACTCAAAAGGAGAACCTCCCTAAGAGCATGAGGAGGAACCACTGAGAGGAACCAAGACTCAAAAGGGGAACCTCTCAGAGAACATGTAGGAGAACCACTGAGAGCAACCAAGACTCAAAAGCAGAACCTCCCTAAGAACATAAAGAAGAAGTACGGAGAGCAACCAAGACTCAAAAGGGGAACCTACCTAAGAGCATGACGAGGAACCACTGAGAGCAACCAAGACTCAAAAGGGGAACCTACCTAAGAGCATGACGAGGAACCACTGAGAGCAACCAAGACTCAAAAGGGGAACCTACCTAAGAGCATAAGGAAGAGCCACTGGGAGCAACTCGAAAGAGAACCCATCTTCCTCCGTGCTGCTCTAGATCGTGGAATTCTGTGGAAATGGCTCAAAACGAAAGCGTCTGAATTCAAAGCGATTGAGTGTTGTGGTCAGTGGGCTGAAAGTGTGTGGAGAAGACTGGGCAGGACAGAAGGCAGAAGGTTAGTCCGTAACACAGGATCAGACTACAGAGCAGATCCAGCCCTGCCTGATCCTGATCCACACATTCCCAGTCTGGGTGTGTCTCTTAATGAGCGGATTTACTGCAGTATGAATCTCCTCATTGTTCAGCTGTGATCACATTAAAGTGATCTAAATGTGTTTAGTCTGAAATGTGCCTCTTTAGTGTTAGCGCTGCAGCCACGAGGCTAATGTAGCTAACAGTATTCCAAGCCTATACTCCACCAATTAGCACTGCGCTAACTGTATGTCTACACTACTTCACTCTCCTCTGACTGTGTGGAGGAGTTCAGGATCTCTGATAGACCTGACTCTGTGGTTCCTGACTCTGTTTGACTCACTGTGTCTATAAACATGGACTGAAGTACGTTAGCATAAAATTCAGCCTCCATGATGAACGTGGCTGCTGTTGTTAGCTATGCTAATGCACTTCAGTCCATGTTTATAGATAACAGAGTTCATACAGGGGTAAAAACCAAGTCTATTAGACATTAATTAATAGGAATTCCATGCATTTCTCAAATCCCTCCATAACTCAGTGTGTGAGATGTAATCAGAGTGGTTCAGAGAGGTTTGGTGTGAAATGGTTCAGATGTCTTTACAGTGGTGGTGATAGGAACCAGGGGTCGCCATGACTACAACACAAATATAGACATTTTATTTACTATCCAGAACTACCAGTGAACCTACACGAGTCTTCTGAGTTTATATGGAATGTTGATGATGGAAAATAGTGGAAAATCTGAAATAATAAGTTTTCTTTGGGGACTATTTTGCCTCACAGCGCCCTGCATGTATCCCTCCACCATGGATGGAGTTTAAGTTCTCTAAACTATCATAAAACAGTGTCTCAGTCATCAGGCAGTGAATTCATAACCATTTCACTGTAGGAACTTTCTGTGAGGGAGCTTTTAGAGGTGGACGTCTGGTTCCTATCACCACCACTGTGAACAGCTCTGACTCTGACTGATTACTCTAGAAATTGAACCATGACTTTGTTTACGTCTTAATCATTTAATTATGCAGATAGGCATTGCAGTTAGCACCATGCTAATCGGTGGGGTATTAGCTTCTATCAGTTGTTAGCTACATTAGCCTCCAATGCTAAAACTAAATAAGCAAACTTAAGACACTAAACACAACTTGGCTGTCGGTGTGAAGGGTGGATTTTGGTTAAATCTGATTCTTTTGGCCAAACTATCGCTTTAAATCATAAAACGTTCCTGTTGTTTTTGTTTTTGTGGTTATGTAACGTGACTCTGCTGAACATGTGGTTCCAGCAGGAGGAACGCTCTGTTTTCTCCTGAGGGCAAGTGTAAAATAATGAAAACCACAGAAGCTGTGGCATTCAGGCATGTGCCTGCCTCTGCCCCGGAGAGGGGCGTGTCAGGAAGTCAGAGCACTCACCCTCTCTCTCTCTCAGACAGTCGTTCAAACAGGAACACAAGCCAGAGTCAGAGTCCGATCAGAGCAGACTGCAGAGAACATGCCGGGGAAAAGAGTTTGTATCGTTGGATCTGGGAACTGGTGGGTATTTATTAGATCCATTAACACTATATTTACTCTACACTGCATTACTGTGATGCTCCTCAGTGCTGAAGCCACTGTGGTTTACTGTAAAGGGTTGGTCTGTTGTTTGTTTGGGTTCATGAAGGGGCTCAGCCATAGCTAAGATCATCGGCCACAATGTGAAGGCTTCGAACCGCTTCGAGCCGCTGGTGAACATGTGGGTGTTCGAGGAGACCGTCAACGGGAGGAAGCTGACCGAGATCATAAACACCGACCACGAAAATGTCAAATATCTGCCAGGACACAAACTGCCCAAAAATGTGGTAAGAGTCTGATTGCAGAGATAAAAACCTGGTTCTCCAACTGTTCTTCAGTGAAGACAAAGGTTATGTATACACTGTAAGGAATGGTTCTTCAGTTCAGGCTAAAAATGGACTTGACAACAAGCAATTTAACTGGTTTTATCTGACTTTGAACAAGCAGACTTTAGGTTTAGAGGCACCTTTTGGATCAATTCACACTTCAAAAAGTCTTTAAATGCACTGCTGCACTGTTCCTTTGAGAACGTACAAGGTTATGCATGGTTAAACGGCTCTTCAGCATGATAGAGAAGCTGTTCTATATGGTTTTAATGCAGCACCAAAAAGGCTCTGCTATTGGGTGTAAGTGAATTATGCAACTACTTTCACCACCTTTATTGCGAGAACGAGGGCCTGTCCTGACAGCTCAGGGTGCAGATAAGGAGACGCTGTCAGATAAACTGGTGAACTTTGTGAATGTGAATCACTAATCATGACCTTTGGTCCAGTTATGACCCCATTAACTCCTAACCCTGTAACCTCTCACATACATTAACATCACTTTAAGATGAGTAACTGACTCTAAATGTAGGTATTGTGATATAAACTGAGTCTGTTCTACGGTTTCTCATTAGGCTGAATGAATAACCGACTCTAAATGTAGGTATTGTGATATAAACTGAGTCTGTTCTACGGTTTCTCATTAGGCTGAATGAATAACCGACTCTAAATGTAGGTATTGTGATATAAACTGAGTCTGTTCTACGGTTTCTCATTAGGCTGAATGAATAACTGACTCTAAATGTAGGTATTGTGATATAAACTGAGTCTGTTCTACAGTTTCTCATTAGGCTGAATGAATAACCGACTCTAAATGTAGGTATTGTGATATAAACTGAGTCTGTTCTACAGTTTCTCATTAGGCTGAATGAATAACCGACTCTAAATGTAGGTATTGTGATATAAACTCCTGTTTCCTTGTCCTTTCAGATCGCTGTTCCAGATGTGACGGAGGCTGTAGCTGGAGCAGACATCCTCGTCTTCGTCATCCCCCATCAGTTCATCGGGAAACTGTGTGACCAGATGAAGCCTCACGTCAAACCAGGAGCCATCGGAATCTCACTCATTAAGGTCAGAACCAATCAGAATCTCACTCATTCAGGACAGAATCAATCAGAATCTCACTCATTAAGGTCAGAGTCAATCGGAATCTCACTCATTAAGGACAGAATCAATCAGAATCTCACTCATTAAGGTCAGAGTCAATCGGAATCTCACTCATTAAGGACAGAATCAATCGGAATCTCACTCATTAAGGTCAGAATCAATCAGAATCTCACTCATTAAGGACAGAATCAATCAGAATCTCACTCATTAAGGTCAGAGTCAATCGGAATCTCACTCATTAAGGACAGAATCAATCGGAATCTCACTCATTAAGGTCAGAATCAATCAGAATCTCACTAATTAAGGACAGAATTAATCAGAGTCACACTAATTAAGGACAGAATCAATCAGAATCTCACTCATTAAGGTCAGAATCAATCAGAATCTCACTCATTAAGGACAGAGTCAATCAGAATCTCACTCATTAAGGACAGAGTCAATCAGAATCTCACTCATTAAGGTCAGAGTCAATCAGAATCTCACTCATTAAAGACAGAGTCAATCAGAATCTCACTCATTAAGGTCAGAATCAATCGGAATCTCACTCATTAAGGTCAGAGTCAATCGGAATCTCACTCATTAAGAACAGAGTCAATCGGAATCTCACTCATTAAGGTCAGAACCAATCGGAATCTCACTCATTAAGGTCAGAATCAATCAGAATCTCACTCATTAAGGACAGAGTCAATCAGAATCTCACTCATTAGGGACAGAATCAATCAGAATCTCACTCATTAAGGACAGAGTCAATCAGAATCTCACTCATTAAGGACAGAATCAATCAGAATCTCACTCATTCAGGACAGAACCAATCAGAATCTCACTCATTAAGGACAGAATCAATCAGAATCTCACTCATTCAGGACAGAATCAATAAAAGAATGTTGGTTTAAACTCATGAGAACACAAAAAACCCAGAAAACTGAAAACTGTACTCATCACATTCACAACATTAATTTGTTATTTCTCTCTCTGTCTCTCTCTGTCTCTCTCTCTGTACTCTCTCTCTGTGTCTCTCTCTGTCTCTCTCTCTCTGTCTCTCTCTCTCTCTGTAGGGAATAGATGAGGGTCCTGCAGGTTTGACTCTGATCTCTGATATAATCAGGACTAAGCTGGGGATTGATGTCAGTGTGCTGATGGGAGCGAATATCGCTAACGAGGTGGCAGACGAGAAGTTCTGCGAGACCACCATAGGTACACACACACACACACACACACACACACACACACACTGTACACACACACACACTGTACACAGACACACTGTACACACACACACACACACACACACACTGTACACACACACACACACACACACTGTACACAGACACACACACACACACACACACACACTGTACACACACACACACACACACACTGTACACACACACACTGTACACACACACACACACACACATACACACACACACACACAAACACACTGTACACACACACACACTGTACACACACACACTGTACACACAGAAACAGCTTTAGTTTAGTTCTGACAGAGAACCAGTTCCAAGTTCCTTCTGCTCTATACCAACGCACGGTACTCCCCCGCAGTGGTCCCGCCTGCCCCAGTCCAGCTGTGATGTGGTGGTTCAGTAAATCATTTATCACAGCTGGATTGTGAGTTAAAACTCAGAACTGCCTCTAAAATAACAGCACCAGTAAAAGAGGATGAATTAAGAGTGGTTCAGTACCCGAGCGCTCGTTATGGAGATTCACCGTTCACTAATGAAAATTACTCTAATTTCTCAAACTGATTTAGTGCTGCCAGTGAAGAAGGGTAAAAATCCAGTGTTGCTAGGCTACCACTGCTGCCTGTAGAGTCAGGCATGGTGATCAGAGCAGGAAACTGCGTACTGCTGCTAACTAGCTAGCATTTAGCATGGAAAATAAAACGTAATATTTTGAATGTGGGCTACTGCTCATCTTTTCATTTGATATCATTTTATATATATATATTTTATATTATATTTTATATAATAATTTCTGCTGTTACATAATAGATAGATAGATAGATAGATAGATCACTTTACTAATCCCAGAGGGAATGTCATTTATTACAGCAGTACAAAGTTCAGTAAAGAGCAAAACAAGAGCAAACGTATTGCCATACGCTATTAAACAAATGCATAAATAGAAGTAAAGATATATAATAAAATATACTAAAATAACCATAAAATATAAGGTGCAGTATGAAAATAAGTAAGTACAATGGTATAAATATTATGCAGGTGACAATGCAGTGGTGCATGTAATGTCCAGTGAATGAACCGAGTGACTAAACACTGTAAACGATATTAAATGTTAATAGTTGTGCTATATGTAGTATGTATGGATGTATAAACAAAGTGGCAGTGCTATATGCAGTATGTATGGATGTATAAACAAAGTGGCAGTGCTATATGCAGTATGTATGGATGTATAAACAAAGTGGCAGTGCTATATGCAGTATGTATGGATGTATTAAATTAGGGTAATTAGGAAAAATCCACAGTTATTCGTCGTTTGCTCATTTTTCACACTCAAGTACTTGACCAGAGACTTTCTTGAAATGCCCATTAAAGTATATAGAATCCATCAATAAAAACTCCCGCAGAACCCCCAGGCTGCCCCTCCCACACTTATAAAAAAGCCAGTGGTGCTGCACAAACCTCACATAACCTGCTGTGATGTCATAAATATTTCCCTGACCACCAAAATAAAGGCTCCAAACATTTGTACCTGGGGCTGATAAGCTGATCACCCGAGCTCTGATAATATTTCAGTCTGCTGTGATGCAGCAATGTTTGTATCTGCTGCCATCTACAGGCGGTGAGTAAGTACTGCAACTTATGGACTCCGAGGGAACATTAGAGCTTTCTATTTCTGTCGAGGCAAGTTGAGATTTCACAGTCAGGGTCTGAGAGACCGCCTCCCACTTTTAACAGATGTACCTGCTTTAGTGAGGCGAACGTTTAGTACTTTTGTTTGCAAAGTATTTTTTTATGTTTAGTAGGTTCTGTTTAATGAAAACTTTCAGGATGTTGTTGGAATGAAGAAGTTTGATTAATCTTAATTTAGGACAGATGTTTTTTATTGTGTCACTTATTTTATATTATTTTATATTTTATTTGTGATCTAATGCTGGATATTATTCACTAGAAATGTCCAGTTTTATTCAGCACGGTGGCCGATGATGAGTTGGTTCTAAAAATGATGACGTGGTTCAGGTTGGGTCGGTCCTGGGCAGGACGTTTTCAGGCTGTATTCAGGTTCAGACCAAAATTTTAGGCCTCATTTAAGCTCTATTTTACTTGCTTTGTCTGTTGAGTTCACAGTAAATGTAGCATTTGTTATGCTTAGATTCTTATTGTTCTCGCAAGGACTTTTATTCTAAAAGCAGGGGCTAGTATTGAGTTGTTATGATAGCAGGCTTTAGAGGGGCTAGACGGCTAACGAGAAGAGCTATCAGTAGAGTCGTGAGCCCCTCTGTATTCTGTTTGCCTTGAGTTTCCAACAAAGTAGGCTGAACTGATGTCCCTACTTTCCCGGGGACAGTGCCCATTTTTGGTGGCCTGTTCCCACCTGGATCTGTGCCCGGAAATTGTCCCTGTTTTTAAATGTGAATTTAAAAACACAGCAGAAAGTCCTAAGAAAGACCTGCAGCAGAGCAGACAGGCAGACATCTCGCATTGAGCTTGTTTTGGCCAGCAGAGGGCGCTGCTGCTGCTCTCTACTGACCACTTCTACCACTCAGACGCCTAGTTTAACAGAACACTGCTGGGTAAAACTCCACAAGCTCACAAGTGTCCAGCGAGTCCACAACATCACCACAAATGTCTTTTCAGGACTCGAGGTGACCCAGGGGTTAAAGCAGGGGTGGAGTTACGGGACTGAATTGCTCTACCAGGTGATCGGTGGGCTCTGATTTGTACAGACAGACAGTCTAAGTGAATGTAGCTACACATAGATACACAAACAGAGCATCATTTTAAACTGCGTCACTTTTTCAGTCTCCATATATGACATGGCATATGCTGATAGCAGCGTCTCTGTCTGTCCAGAGCCGGAGCTGCCCAGGGGTGAGTTTAGGGTCTGGACATTGGGCTACAGCTTTTTTCTGTAGACTCGGGTCTCTTTTACTGCCAGAAGTTAGTTACTTAGTCGGTACCCAGTTTTATCAGTCGGCCTTCACCAGAGTTTATTACAGTACAGCAGTTACCATGGCCAAAATACTGGAAACTGGAACGGACCCTCTTTTAATTTCATAGATAAAGACGTTGGATATTTTAATGATATATTGACCACTGAAATGGAACTGAAATTTTAATTTCAGAATCTGGTCACCTTACAGTAAAGCTGAGTTATGGACCAGATCTTTGACAGACAACAGAGATAATCTAACCTAGTCTAATCTAATCTAATCTAATCTAATCTTCCACTCCAGAGAGAATATATCTCAGTGCAGGATTACTCACTAGAACAGAAAACAGCATAAATGTTTGTTTTACGAGTTTATCCTGAAGCTCTGTGTTTGTGTTGTGTGTGTCGTGTCTGTGTGTGTTTGTGTGTGTTGTGTTTGTGTTGTGTTTGTATTTGTGTTGTTTAGGGGCCGTTAATGAACAGAACGGTCACCTCTTTAAGGAGCTGATGCAGACTCCAAACTTCCGCATCACTGTGGTTTCCGAGAGCGACACTGTGGAGCTGTGTGGAGCTTTGAAGGTAACGTCCATCAACACTGTTTACGGTGATCAGATCAGACTTCACTTCATTATAAATCCAGGTGTAATCACACTTGTGATCAGATCAGGATCAGATCACTCACACAGCGTTCAGAGGATCAGACAGGGAGACCACATTCAACACAAGTATACTCACTTAGTTAGTATCCAGAACCTGTTGGGCATCAGTGTAATTTAGTGAGACATGGACTTGGACTAGTGTAGAGTTGTGTCCTGTAGTGTAGAGGTGTGTCCTGTAGTGTAGAGTAGTGTAGAGTTGTGTCCTGTAGTCTAAAGTAATGTAGAGTAGTATAGAGTTGAATGAAGTTGTGTCCTGTAGTGTAGAGGTGTGTCCTGTAGTCTAGAGTAGTGTAGAGTTGTATAGAGTTGAATGAAGTTGTGTTCTATAGTCTAGAGTAGTGTAAAGTTGTGTCCTGTAGTGTAGAGGTGTGTCCTGTAGTCTAGAGTAGTGTAGAGTTGTATAGAGTTGAATGAAGTTGTGTTCTATAGTCTAGAGTAGTGTAAAGTTGTGTCCTGTAGTGTAGAGGTGTGTCCTGTAGTGTAGAGAAGTGTAGAGTTGTGTCCTGTAGTCTAGAGTAATGTAGAGTAGTATAGAGTTGAATGAAGTTGTGTCCTGTAGTGTAGAGGTATGTCCTGTAGTGTAGAGAAGTGTAGAGTTGTGTCCTGTAGTCTAGAGTAGTGTAGAGTTGAATGAAGTTGTGTCCTGTAGTGTAGAGGTGTGTCCTGTAGTGTAGAGAAGTGTAGAGTTGTGTCATGTAGTCTAGAGTAGTGTAGAGTTGTATAGAGTTGAATGAAGTTGTGTCCTGTAGTGTAGAGGTGTGTCCTGTAGTCTAGAGTAGTGTAGAGTTGTATAGAGTTGAATGAAGTTGTGTTCTATAGTCTAGAGTAGTGTAAAGTTGTGTCCTGTAGTGTAGAGGTGTGTCCTGTAGTGTAGAGAAGTGTAGAGTTGTGTTCTGTAGTCTAGAGTAGTGTAGAGTTGAATGAAGTTGTGTCCTGTAGTGTAGAGAAGTGTAGAGTTGTGTCATGTAGTCTAGAGTAGTGTAGAGTTGTATAGAGTTGAATGAAGTTGTGTCCTGTAGTGTAGAGAAGTGTAGAGTTGTGTCCTGTAGTGTAGAGTAGTGTAGAGTTGTATAGAGTTGAATGAAGTTGTGTCCTGTTGTATAGAGTAGTGTAGAGTATATTTTTGTAGTTCTGTAATCTTGTATAGAACATTGTATTGTCATAGTTATACACAGTTCTGTTCTGTAGTGTACAGTATTGTATTGTATAGAGTTGACTTGTGTCCTGTGCTTGGGGAGCTCGGCTGGGGGGGGGCTTGGAGCTTACCTGTTGAACGCTTACCTGTCGAACGCTTCACTGGCCCAGAGTGAAGAAGGCTTGGTAACGTTTTCCTTTACAGCCCCCAAAGTTCTAGACAGTAACAGGTAAGTGTGAGGTACAAACTCAAAGTACTAGATAATTATTTTGAGAAATGCAATGGGCCAGTAAAAGCATTCTAACAAGTTCTAGCAACAGGCAAGAAACACGTGTTTATCGTAAGTTCCTGGTAATAAAACTGAAACGATTTATGTGTTGATGTTGTTTTACACGGGAAAGAAAAATCGTATTGCATTTCTTTGAACAGTGTAAACAGAATCTGAGGTAAATCCAGATATGATCCAGAAATCAGTCTTTCACACTGTTTGGTCACCCCCTAGTGGTGAAAGTTCAGTACTACAGTCCAACGGTCACACGTTCTCCTGTCTGTGTGTGTTCTAGAACATCGTGGCTGTAGGAGCAGGGTTCTGTGACGGTTTGGGTTTCGGTGATAACACTAAAGCGGCGGTGATCCGTCTGGGTCTGATGGAGATGGTGGCGTTTTCTCGGCTCTTCTGTAAGAACACTGTTAGCTCCGCCACCTTCCTGGAGAGCTGCGGCGTTGCTGACCTCATCACCACCTGCTATGGAGGACGCAACCGCCGCGTCGCTGAGGCCTTCGTCACCTCACACAAGGTCAGACTCACGTCCACACATACAGGGTGGGCCACACCTCCAGGAAGGGACTGGTTCTGAAAAAAGGACCTCTTAGCTAAAGCGTGTTACGCTAATGATGCACTTTCAGCTTCACTGCTTCCTGTAAAATACAGAAAACGTGGAGAGACTCTCTGTTATTCCGATTCTCAACTGTGGAGCTCAGTTCACCTTTTATTAAGTTATTGAGTCGCAACCCAAATGTTAAGAAGAGCCATTTTATCCGTTCAACAAAAATCAAACCACAACATTTTATGTTCATTTTACCATCATATCTGTAAATATGTCTCAGTATGTGCTGATATACTAGTATAGAATAAAAATATAATAAGAATGAAAACACAGACTTACTTTGCTCTGCTTTAATCTTTAGCTCAGCTGTAGCTGCTTTTCTCACATCTCCAGCAGGAAACTTTTCCTCAGAAGTAGAACAGTTTCTTGAAAAAAAGTCTGTCAACGTTTGACTTTTTATGAGTCGCTTCTCATTCACCAGCTTTTTGTTCGAATTTTTCCGTTCCACCTTAAATGGTGGCTGAGACACCAGAATGTAACTGCTGCACCATTTAAGGTGACAAGAGAATTCGAACAAGAAGCTGGCGAAATGAGAAACTGACTTCAGCTTTACAACGTTTTAGTGTTTCAGTTTCTTGTTGCAGATTAAACGTATCAGGAAACCAGCTGGAGTGATTATAAACACAAATAAGTCCATTAGTCTCTAAATTATCGATGTTCATCTTAAATCTCTCTCTTTGCCATTTCGTTAGCTACTAGCTAGGCGAGACTGTTGTCTGTGTCGCTATGGTGACCAGCAGTCTGCGCTGATCTTCAGGGTTAAAGGGTGAATCAGCAGTTCTACATTAACTCCAGAGTTTAAGACCATTTACTGTTAAACTGTGTTGAACGATCAGCAGAGCTTTATTTTACTGTAAAGGAGGATTATTTTATTTTTACCTTCAAATCTGATTCAGCTGTGGAGCCAGCAGGGGGCAGTGAAAGAGCCACATGTTGCCGATCCCTGGGCGAGACAGTCGAGCTCAGAGCTCACTTTTAATAAACATCTGAAAACTCAGCGCTTCCTTAAAGCTGTACGTCTCTTTGGTGTTTATTTGTTTAATCTCGTCTGTTATTGTTTTGTCTATTTACTGTAAAACATTACCAACCATCTGTAAAGCACTTCCAGCTGCCACCAGCATAAAGTGCTCTATAAATAAAGATATTATTATGTTTGTTATTAATTTAAATGGAGAGCTTCAGCCAGCAAACTCTGCCTCGCAGCGCAACGAGTTTCAACTGCAAATTTAATAATATGGATATAATCGTCATGGATTCGTTGTTTATCTACCTTAACAGATGGATTTAGGTTTTATAAGTGACTGTTGACAGTGAATATGTGGACTGGAGACGTATGACTGGGTGTAGACTGCATGGTTTAAGCAGTACTCAGTGTTAAGGTCACCTGTTCAGGTAGCTAGCCTGCTAGTGAGACCGAGCAAGCTAACTTTCTAACTCGCGTGGACGAGCGACGTGTTCTGAAAGTGGTTTCCTCCTGCGTTTTGCGTTTTCCTGACTGTCCCAGCTTTTTCTGGAGTTGGGTTTGTATCTGTGGTTGTTGATAGAGCGCAGTGTTGCAGTCAGTAAACAAACTGAGGCTGTAGTTTGTGATAAAGTGTGAAATTAGTATTTCGATCGTAACCAATGAAGAGATTTACGTTGTAAAATCTCCTTTTCAAATATTTACAAAGGAAAAATGCAAAGTACAAGATATAAGCGTTATTTATTGAAGATTTTGGATAGTCAGTATTCACAAACACAGATCACATACATATTATAACATAATGCAGAACATAACATTACACACAAAGCAGATAATAAAGCAGATCCTTCAATGTCTGGAATTCTTTAGAAACAGCCCAACATCGTCTTGCAAACATCTTTCCCAGAATCTTTGTTTTTCTGATGTTTTTATTTGAAGAATAATGAGTGTTTACTGGTGTTTGTTGGTTTCGCGTCGTAGTCCATAGCAGAGCTGGAGGCAGAGCTGCTGAACGGTCAGAAGCTCCAAGGTCCACAAACATCTGCTGAAGTCTACAAGATCCTTCAGAAGAGGAGCATGGTGGATAAGTACGTCACCTTCATCACCATCACCTTCATCATCTTCATCACGTAACTGTGTGTATAGACTGTAAAGTTAGCGTGCTGTGTATTCACACTAGTCTTGTGTGTGTGTGTGTGTGTGTAGGTTCCCCCTGTTTGTCTCGGTCTATCAGATCTGTTTCGAGGGAAAAGATGTGAAAGAATTCATCAAATGCCTCCAGAACCATCCACAGCACATGTGAACACGTGGAACGTTCTGGAGCACCGGAACCTCCTCTACACATCGCAGGAGGAGCCCAATCTCTACCAGCCCTGATTTAGCTGCACTGTAACTCTTACTTACACTAAAGAACCACAGGGGGCGTCATCCACACTAATACTGATACGGTTACGTCGACTTCAGCCTGTTTAAATCCATCCTTTTAGCGTTTTACATTGTTTTAAACAGAAGCTTTCAGTCCACACGAGCGTTTTACAGCAGTTTCCACATTCGCATTTTTATACTGTGCTTAAAAGATTTGGCCCTAATTAGTATTTTTACAGTGTTTTCAGAAGATTTTCAGTCCTTATAAGAAATCCATTCATATTAGCGTTCCAGAAACAACGAGTTCTCAGTTTACATCAGCAATTTTACATTGTTTCAAATGTTTTTGGTCCATATGAACATTTTTACAGTGTTTTCAGTCTAATTTAAGCATTTTTACGCTGTTTAAACATGGTTTTTGGTCCACATTAGCATTTTTACAGTCGTGTTCCACATTAGCATTAGCAGTTTTAAATCAAAAATTGGTTCCAATTAGCATGTTTACACTGTTTTTAAAAAAAAGTAACTAGTCCTTATTAAAAATTCATTCACATTAGCCCTTTTGCATTCTGAAAACACCCAATTTTCAGTCTATATTAGCATTTTTGTATTGTTTACAGTCTAATATTGGCAATTTCCACATTGTTTAAAAATGTTTTTGGACCATGATAGCATTTTAACAGCTGTTTTCAGACTAATTTTAGCATTTTTACATTGTTTAAAAATTATTTTGGTCCACATTAGCATTTTTACAGCTGTTTTCCACATTAGCATTAGCAATTTTGTGCCAAAATTGGTTCCAATTAGCATTTCTCCAAGGTTTAAAAAAAAGGAACTGGTCCTTGTTAAAAACCCATTCATATTAGCACTTTCACATTCTGAAAACAGCCAATATTCACGCTACATTAGCATTTACATTGTTTTCAGTCTAATATTAGCATTTTTCACAGTGTTTAAAAATGTTTTTGGTCCACATTAAAATTAGCAATTTTATACCAAAAATTGGTTCCAATTAGCATTTTTACACTGTTTAAGAAACTAGTCCTTATTAAAAATTCATTTTAAATTCAGAAAACAAACAATTTTTAGGCTACATTACATTGTTTTCAATGTAATATTAGCATTTTTTGCATTGCTTAAAAATGTTTTGGGCCACATTTTTTACAGCTGTTTCCCACATTAGCATTAGCAATTTTATACCAAAAATTGGTTCCAATTAGCATTTTTTTTCACTGTTTTAAAAAAGTAACTAGTCCTCATTAAAAATCCACCAAAACCAATTCTACATCACTCTACATTAGCATTTTACATCGTCTTCAGTCTAATATTGGCATTTTTTCACATTGTTTAAAATGTTTTTTGGACCACTTTAGCATTTTTACCTTGTTTTAAATTCCATCCACACTGAAATGTGAAGAGCATGTTAGCTGAGCCAGTTTACACCATTTTAGTTTCTGTTGTGTGCTGAGCTACAGACGGCTGAGCTAAACCACAGGACCATGTCGTAATCAGAAGTGGTGCATTTGTACTGAACGCTGCTGTGTTCAATGGTAAAAGAGCGACCAACTGGAAAAATCAGTCAAGTATGGAAATCATCGCTTTAATAAACAGATCTATGGATATTAGTGTGGATGACACCTGAACCCCAGCGTGATGTTCCACAGGTGAGGCTTCACGCCTGAATATAAACACCTCTCACTGCTGTAGAGCTGCTCCAGACGCACATCAGAGTCCAGCTGAAGACCAAAGGCATCATCTCTGTAGTCTTTATGCTTCGTATTAACAGGTTTTAATGTATACTGAGGCTGTGCTGCGCTAAAACTCGTCCCATCTTAAATTTCTCAGGACATGATGAAGTTAAACGCACAAAAGAGCTTCTTACAATCATGTTTTATTACAGTACAGGTTTAATGATCCAGTGACAGGTTTCCTAAATGCAGAAGCTGCTGATTTTAGCCTCAAATTCTGTTTTTTTTTTTCCATTTCTAACGTCTTGATGATCTGAATTAGGATTATTATGGCAGATAAAGCACTAAATCCTGCGGTGTTTGGGTTTTAAGGACTCTATCAGTCTGTATTTGTGTTATTAACTGAATTATCATATCACATAAGTCAGTATAACGTCATTATCAGTGACGTATCAATGACGGAGTCCATGTCTCTGATCAATTTTGCACTGCCTTTGCTAGACAATTTGCTTTAGCTACTGAATCATGCTGCCCTGACGCTGCACATGGTGAAACCTTCCAAATGAACAGTTAAAAAACAAAAACAAATCACAACACATTCAGTTACTCCACCAGTTAGCCCAGTTAGCACAGTTAGCATGCGTCATCGTTCTGGCCATCTAAAATAATCAGTTAGTTAGCCAACATCGGTACTGAGGAAGTGATTAGCAACGTAGCTATTAGGATCATGCTAACAGCAGGCTAACAAAGCGCTAGCAGACGTTCAAACAGCTACATGCTAACGTCAGCTAGCCAGTTATGCTAACAGTTTGTTTTATCATTAAATCAGTACTTTTATTACTTTTATTATTACAAAAGTCATTCAGAGCGGGTTTTCACTGTTCACAGTGGTGGTGATAAGAACCAGACGTCCCCCTCTAAAAGCTCCCTCACAGAAAGTTCCTACATGAAATGGTTATGAATTCACTGCCTGATGACTGAGACACTGTTTTATGATAGTTTAGAGAACTTAAACTCCATTCATGGTGGAGGGATACATGCAGGGCGCTGTGAGGCAAAATAGTCCCCAGTTATGTTCACTGGACACCAATGAATAAGCAGCATTTTCCAACAGATGTAAATCCGTCCTCTGATTGGTTTACTAGTTCAAAAGATTTTGACTGAAATCAGTTTAAATGATGATCACATGACACATCATCTGCATTTTGATTGGCTGATTCGTGACACTTAAAGTAGAGACGGTTGGTCAAGTACAGGAGGTTTTACGTTATACGCCACGAATTACATTTAATTTCAGGTAATTTAAAACATAAAAAGTGTGCTGAATGTTTCTCCGTGTAAGTCCAGCCTGCTCTAGAGCCGAGTTTGTAACGGAACGGTTCTCTAGCTTCTCCATTTCTGCTGTACGTGTGCTCACTCTTTATTTTTTAATGCGCTCATATTTCCTGCTAATTGATGAATAATGGCTCCTCGAGGCCGTACGACACTATGGGCTGAGCTCTCAGGGCTGAGAAACGCACAATGAGTCTTAACTGCTTTTTGAAATCACAACCTTTTATTAAAATAAACGTTTTACAATCTGGGAACAGATTTCTGTAAAATAATCTTTAATAAATATGTAATAAAAGTGTCGATCTGCTTTTCTCTGATTCTGCACCGCAAACACACTGAAAATAAAACCAGCTCAGATCAAACACAGCAAGCATAGCACCAAAAAAGCAAAATAAAAGTCCTTCTCAAACACAGAGAGAGAAACATCAGACGAGGACAGAGTGATTCAGAAACTGAGAGATGATAGAATGATGATGAGAGGAGGGGAGGGTGTGATCAGATGGTGGGGAAGATGGCGAAGTTGGCGATTCCACACTGGTTCTTGTTTCGGGCCATTCGGACAAAACCATTCTCTCCCCACGCAGAGCCCCAACTGGGAAAAAAAGAAATATATATATATATATATATATATATATATATATATATATATAAAGAGAGAGAGAGAGAGAGAAAGAGAGAGATACACTTATTAAAATATTAAAATATTACTTTGTAAGTATAAATATACTGTAGAAATATCTGCTGGTCTTTAAAAAGTATATAAATTAAATCAAATAAAAAGTTATATATAAATATAGGCTTTAATACATCAACACTTTCAGGACAAACATTGTGTTTCCATTTTTGTTGTTTTTATTATTTGAAAACACTGGCTGCCTTTTACACTGTGTTAAAAAAAGAAAGGGCCAATAGAAACGCTGTATTTCTAAACATTTATCTGGTTTTAAGTCATCTCATCTAATGAAAGTGTCCTGCTCCATTGGCATCATTTGAAATAACACACTTTAGCTGGATAACATTCCTTAAAAAACATAAAAATGCATAGAAATTGGTTGTGTGATCTCATACCATTTTCGGGATGAAAAACATCAGATATGTTGGCCAGTTTTAAGGTGTTTTCACTCGCTGAGATATTATTGCAGTGCATAATTTGAAAACAAAATTAGATACATAAACAGACAGACAGACAGACAGATGAATAGAAGGACAGATAGGCTGAAGTGCGTATATACAATATATAAAAAAATGAGTGCCTCATCCAGTTTGGTCATTTGGGCTCAGTTCTCATATCTGACCACCAGATGTCGCCACAGCATCACCATCAGAGTGTGTGTGTGTGTGGAGTGACACTAAGAGGATCAGTGTGAGCTGAGAGTGAACAGTGGAGTGTGTTTTACCTGTTCTTGATCAGCCAGTAGTCTTGACCCTTATCCTGTCCGTATCCCACCACCAGCACAGCGTGATTCACAGAGCGAGGGTCGCACGCCGGGTCGTCATAGATACCTGAACACACACACAGTCGCCTTAGTGTAGTCTCTTCACCACGGACAGCACGGAGAAAATCAGCTGTGTGAGTGTGTGTGTGAGTGTGTGTGTGTGTGTGTGAGTGTGTGTGTGAGTGTGAGTGTGTGTGTGAGTGTGTGTGTGTGAGTGAGTGTGTGTCTTACCGCTCTTGTATCTGTGGAATGAAGCCAGTTTGGCGTTGATTCCCACAGAAATCGGCCCCACGGTGGCCACAGCGTGCATCATCACAAGCTCATTGCGAGGCAGAATCTGGAAACCAGAGCAGTACCCAGCTTTCCCCTTCACTGCGTAACGACACGTACCATCCTACACAACAACACACAGTGATAACACAACGTTACAACAACCAAAACACAACGTTACCACACTGACACAGTATCACAACAACGTGTAAACTGTTGTCAGCCCGTCTTTCAAGTGATTGATAAATCATAGTTTGTTTACGTTTTGCGCTGACAGGCAGACCTGCCCTGGGGGTGATCCACAAAACTGGATTTCTCAGTTAGCTGGATAACTTAAGCCCAAAGATAAGGACTGTCCAATGGGAATGTCCCTCGGCTCTGTTCCTATTGGACAGTCTTGACCTTGAGCTGAAGTTGTGCTTTGTGAAGCCCCCCCCGATTCCTCACTAGTTGTCAGTGACTGTGACCGAGTACCCTGTGCTCGTAGGGGTAGAAGCTGTCCGAGTCGATGCCCTTGTTCCGGATGATGTAGGTGAAGGACTTGCTGAGGTAGCCCCCTCTGCAGCCGTGGTTGCCGACGGTGACACTGCAGTCCACCAGGTTCTGTGGACTCAGAGGAACCAGACGGCCGGTTTTCTTCTTCATCTGACCTTCCAGAGCCCCGACCGCACTGAAGGCCCAGCAGGAGCCGCACGGACCCTGTAAGCAAACCATACAGGGAGAGACGGTCAGACGTGGTCTGTAGTGCTGTATCTGGGACACTAGGGGGAGACAAAAGCACATCTGGCATTATTTTGTGCATGATTATTATTATTTGTCTTATTTGTTCAAATGTAATTATTTACTATATATTTAACATATATATCGTATATACAGTCAGAGCTCATTTATCATATATATCATGTATACAGACAATGAGCATATATATCATATATATAATACGTACAGTCAGTAAGTGTTTATAACGCATATCGTATATACAGTCAATAAGTGAATATATCATTTATTAAATATACAATCTTTCAATGTATATAATATGTACCACAAATATAGCCAGTGAGTGTATATATCATATATCATATTTACAGCCAGTGAGTGTATATATAACATGTATATTATATAAACAGTAAATGACCATATATCAAATATATAATCAGTCGATGAGTGTATATATCATATATATCATATATACAGTCAATGAGCCTATATATCATATACACAGTCAATGAGTGTATATATCATATATCAACTTGTATAATCTCCATAGAAAAGCACTGACCAATAGAATGGGACACTCTGGAGCAGCTGCCCATGATCCTAAGATCTCCACGCCCAGTGCCCAGCGTGGGCCAGAGGGGTATAAAGCCCCCCAGCATTGGGCTGTGGAGCAGTGGAGCTGTGTTCTCTGGAGTGATGGAGCTCCTTCCAGTACCTTTGGGATGATTATTCATCCAGAACTGACCATCCAACATCAGTACCTGACCTCAATAATGCTCAATCAAATCCTCACAGCAATGTTCCAACTAATATTAAGCCTTCCCTGCAGCACAAACTCACTATGAGCACCCTTCGTTTCAGAGCAGCTGGTGTACACAAACCCTGTGTCCACATTGAGATCATCTCAAATGTGTAGTACTATATCTCAGCCACCAGAGGGAGACAGAAAACACACTTTACCCTCAATAGAGCGGGTGTGGATCACTCACCTGGTTCCGGACGGGAGTGACCAGGCCCTTCTCGGTCCAGTCCATTCTGGGAGGAGGGAGAGATCCACTCAGGAAGGAGAACGTGTGGTTCACTTCATGAAGAGCAGGACGTTCCTCTATCAGCCCGTTCAGCTGAGCGTTCACTTCTTCTGCAGACTGATACACACACACACACACACACACACACACACACACCATTAAACACACACACACACACACACACACACACACCATTAAACACACACACACACACACACACACCATTAAACACACACACACACTTGATTAATTGAAGTGGTGGCTTTTTCACTGAGCCAATGCAGTTTTAATCTACTTTTTACTGCAATGGAAACGACTTTATTTCATTTTCAAGCAGTGCTTTAAAGATGTAACCCATCTTGCAAAGTAAACGTATTTAATGTTATTAAATAAGGATGAAACAGACGCAGCCCAGCCTCAATCACCACACTGGGATACGCGTTTTAGATATTATCATATTTCATTAAAGCTGTGTTTGTGTGCTCGTTTATGATGCAGTGAGTTCCACTGTTAGTCTACTGTTCATCGTCTACTGTTCCTCAGGTTTATCACAGTTTATTCACCACAGCTTCAGTTACGAACACAGATCACAGCACTACAGTTCAAACTGAGCTGATCCAGCTAGATATAGTAGTGGACTGTACCATGTCTGAGAGTGAGGGGGTCAGTAATAGACTGTACCATGTGTGAGTGTGAGGGGGTCAGTAATGGACTGTACTATGTCTGAGTGTGTATGGAGGCAGCTGTAGACTGTACCATGTCTGAGTATGTGAAGGGGTCAGTAATGGACTGTACCATGTCTGAGTGTGTGAGGGGGTCAGTAATGGACTGTACTATATCTGAGTGTGTAAGGGGGTCAGTAATGGACTGTACCATGTGTGAGTGTGAGGGGCTCAGTAATAGACTGTACCATGTGTGAGAGTGTGAGGGGGGTCAGTAATGGACTGTACTATGTCTGAGTGTGTATGGGGGCAGCAGTAGATTGTACCATGTCTGAGAGGTGGTTGATTCCCATGGTGTAACTTCTTCTTCCTGCTGAAGCTGCTTCGTTGTGTTTCATCACATCCTGAACGTTCTTCTTCCAGACAGCTCTCCTACACACCTCCTCCCTCTGACACACACAAACACAACACACAGAGCTGCTTCTGTCAGAAACCTCAGATTAATACCTCACTGAGGACGGAAAAATAAGTAATACATTCTCATTCGTAACGCTGCCCCTGCTGTAATGTTACCACTACAACGACTTCAACTCTGTCAAACCAGGAAGCATCAAAAGAATCAGTCGTGTCTCCTGCTCAGGTTCTTTGTAATTTTTTCTGTTTTAATGTATTTAACTGTTGAAAATATGTATATAATTGCAGGGCTGGTCTGAACATTTTACAGGCTTTGAATACTTGTAGGCTTTTCTGAACGAGTACTCAAATTAAAAGTATTCTGATGGGTTCTAAAGCATTAAAGTTTAGAGAACTTACATACATGTTTAGTAGCTTAATCTTGCTCTTGTGGGCCTTAATGTACATGTACAAATGTGTCTTGTGAATACATTCCCACTTTAGCAAAATTGTGTTCAGTTTTTCTGTGTTTGAGTCAGAGAAACTTATAAAAAGAAAGCTAACCACCAAGCACAAGCTAACTACTAAAAAGAAGCTAACTACCAAGCAAAAGCTAACCACCACTAGAGAGCTAACTACCAAGCACACACAAATGACCAAGCAAAAGTGAACTACTAAGCAAAGACTAACCACCAAGCAAAAGCTAACTATGTGAAACCAAACAAACAAGCGAAAGCTAACCAAGCGAAAGCTAACTACCAGGTGAAAGTTAACCAAGTGAAATCTAACCACCAGGTAAGAGCTAACCATGTGAAAGCTAACCACCAAGCGAAAGCTACCCAAGAGAGAGCTAACCTGGGCCCAGTTTCCCTAAAGCCTCTTAGTGTTAATATCATCTTAAGTGGAGAGAGAGAGTGTTCAGTGTGGTGCTCGCTCTACCATTTAAGAATAGTCTTTGCGCTCAGGTACTTTTGTGAAACCCAGCCCTGTTAATCAGAACTGAGCTATCCAGAACCTCCGGTCGTCTGTTTGTTTCACTCCAGCGTTCCCTGGAAGGAGATCCAGTAGTACAGTGAATAAGAAGCTTCGTTAAAGAGTCACCACGGGAGTGTCGAACTGAGGGATGTCAATCAAGCATGCTCATTAGAATATTAGGCCACACCCAGATAGACCTGATCAGTTTTACAGCGTAGCGTTATAATTCTGTCTATATTCAAAGTGGAGAAACAGAAACAAGGAAACAAACGAAACACTCCTGGATCCATCCGACAGCCCCGGTGTGTGTGTGTGTGTGAGTGTGTGTGTGTGTGTGTGTGTGTGTGTGTGTGTGTATTCTCACCGTACTGCTGTACGTTTTGTTGAATTCGGTCTTCCAGGACGTCCAGTAACCGTCTAAACTGAACTCACAGTGGGCCGGAACCAGCAGGAGAACCAAACACAGCGCAGAGAGAACCATCCCTGCAGACACACAAACAAACACACACACACACAACCACAGCCACGAGTCAGAGACAGTTTAACAGCTGCATGAAAGTGTCAACATCACAGCACTTTACTGCTTCCTGTACAGCACACACACACACACACACACACACACTCTCTCTTACACTGGTCACACACACACACACACACACACACACACACCTCTCTTACACTGGTCACACACACACACACACACACACACACACACACACACTCTCTCTTATATCTCGCTATGGTGTGTAAAAGTCACATCAGGCCATTTCCGCCCTCAAACTAGCACATAAAAACAAATAGCTTGCTTAATAAATAAATAAATAAATAAATAAATAAATTCATAAAATCAAACTTCAGTTTTCAGTAATTAAAATCAGGTGCAAAGCAAAGTTCGTTGTCTAAAAGCGAGCACAGCGCCTCCCCACAGCACCACACCACTTTAAACGTCTCCAGGTCAGACATGCACTTATAATAGTTCAAATCAATTAGAACCCTTGATTGACAAAGACAGCGAGATAGAGAGAGAGAGAGAGAGAGAGAGAGACAGAGAGAGAGAGAGAGAGAGAGAGAGAGAGAGACAGGGAGACAGGGAGAGAGAGAGAGACAGAGAGAGAGAAAGACAGAGAGAGAGACAGGGAGAGAGAGAGAGACAGAGAGAGAGAGAGAGAGAGAGAGAGTGTTGAACTGTAGTAGAACTCTGAATATGGGGGGCCATTTAGGGTGAAATACTCTGAAACACTCACACACTACTGGAACACTTGCTTATTTCACGCTATATAGACAAAAGTATTGGGACACCCCTCCTAATTACTGAGTTCAGGTGTTTTCAGCCACACCCACTACTAACAGTCACTATTATTGTAAAATGGAAGCATCTAGGAGCAACAACAGCTCAGCCATGAAGTGGTCCATGGTGGTCTAAACTGGTCTAAGATGATCTATGCTGGTCTAAGCTGGTCTAAGCTGGTCTAAACTGGTCTATGCTGATCTATGCTGGTCTGAGCTGGTCTAAACTGGTCTAAGCTGGTCTATGCTGGTCTAAGATGGTCTATGCTGGTCTAAGCTGATTTATGCTGGTGTAAAATGGTCTAAACTGGTCTATGCTGGTCTAAGCTGGTCTAAACTCATCCATGCTGGTCTAAGGTGGTCTAAGATGATCTATGCTGGTCTAAGCTGGTCTATGTTGGTTTGTGCTGGTCTATGCTGGCCTGTGATGGTCTATGCTGATTTATGATGGTCTATGCCTGTCTAAGCTGGTCTGCGCTGGTCTAAGATGGTCTAAACTCATCTAAGCTGGTCTAAGATGATTAATTTTGGTCTATGCTGGTCTGCGCTGGTCTATGTTGGTTCGTGCCAATTGGGTCTATGACGGCCTATGCTGATTTATGAAGGTCTATGGCAGTCTATGATGGTCTGTGCCAATCTGTGCTGGTTTGTACCAATCTATGCTGGTCTATGCTGGTCAGTGCTGGTCTATGATGGCCTATGCTGATTTATGAGGGTCTATGCCAGTCTACGATGGTCTGTACCAATCTGTGCTGGTCTATGCTGGTTTGTACCAATCTGTGTCTATGTTGGTCTAAGATGGTCTATGCCGGTCTATGTTGGTCTATACTGGTCTATGTTGGTCTATGCTGGCTTATGCTTGTCTAGTGCTAGTCTGGTTCTAATTTAGCTGGTCACCCCGATGGTCATGCTGGTTGACCAGCATAGCACATACCAGCATCCCAAACACAACATATGCTGATTTTGGTGGTGTCTATGCTGGCTTTTGGCCCTCAGCTCACCACGAACATTTCACCCTGGACCCCTAAGACAAAACGTTTAAAGGTTTGATTTCCATTTTGCTGCTGTAAACACAGTCCTGTAAATGAACCCACACACATACAGCAGGTGGAACCTTACTGACCGCTCTATTAGGAACAAAGATGCGGCAACAGGTCCGCTGTGGAGGCCAGAGGTTCTGCAGTGTACAGCTGTCAGCTGTGTTGTAACTGTTCCTGTTGTGTTGTAACCACTGTTGAGCAGAACCGCAGGAGCACCACGACTCTACCACTCTGTTAACTCTGTTTTGCTGCTGTGTGTTAGCTGGGCTAGTCATGCTAACAGTCACTGTACACACATTACTGTACAACACCGATCATCACAGACTGATCGCAGGCTGAGTGCTCAGGCTGACTTCAGGCCAGTTTAACGTTCAGACCTGTAGATCTGATCACTCTACCATTTAAATTAAAATAAAAGTGTACCGTAGTGCAGCTTTAGCATCTGAGTCAGTTTAAAATCGGATAACTCACATGAATCTTATTACACTGAGCGTGTCAGAGCTTCTTACCTGAGCGTGTAGATAGACAGACACACAGACAGACGGATGGAGGGATGGAGGGGTGGATGGACGGACAGCTGTGTGCAGGTTTTGGTTGCAGTTCTCTGCTAAAAAGTCTGTAAAGAGGAAGTGAAGAGTTTCCTCTTATAACTGTTCACTCTCTCTCTCAGTTTCTCTCTCTACCCCCCCCCCTCTCTCTCTCTCTCTCTCTTTTAATCTCTCTGTCTCTATCTCTCTCATTCACTTTTTCTTGTTTACTCTATCTCCTTTGTTCACTCTCTCTTTCATTCACTCTCTTTTTCTAGTTCTCTCTCTCTCTCTGGTCATGTGAATATAGTTAGTGCTGATGAGGTACAGGAGGAGGATGATAGATGACAGTAAGACACAGAAACACGTTTGTTTTCTCTCAGTTTCAGTTCAGGTCAGCCAGCTTTACTAATGTCATCATATTTACTTACAAAATATCAAGACTCCAGCATAAAGACGTTCCCAATTCATTTAATAATATGATGTGTGTGTGTAAATATATAATATTCAGTGTCTTCTATGAATTATTCAGTGTCTACTATGAATTATTCAGTGTCTACTATGAATTATTCAGTGTCTACTATGAATTATTCAGTATCTACTATGAATTATTCAGTGTCTACTATGAATTATTCAGTATCTACTATGAATAATTCAGCATTACAAAAATCTCAGACTGAGAAAAATTACATACATATCGTTGTTGTAAACGATAGAAAACCTCGTATCTCAAAAATGGTAACTTTACACAAGAACTTTTTTCCAAGTCATTTTGGGTCGTTAGATTTAGTCCATTCATTATGAAATTTACATACAGTGTAAAAGGAAACAGCCATTTTCAAATGATGTCAAATTATTTGTCAAACGATTTGTTCAGACAGCAGTGATATATTTTTATATACACATTTGAGAACAGGTATCATTCTCTCCAGTGTACAGTGATATGTTTCTGTGTTTTGTGTGGATTCGCTTTGAGGGTTTTGTTTTTGGGGCAAGTTGCTCCTCTTAAAGCCCCTTTAAATGGTCAGGATCCACCAGCAGGTCCACAGTTTTATTACACACTTCTATCATCTAAGAATAGCTCAGCCAGTTTACACTGAATTCCCTGTAGTTACTGAATAATCAGCTGTGGGAGATAATATCACTGGGATTTTAAAGGGTTTAATGTCCTGTTTAAACTGCCCCCCCCCTCCTGTCCCAGGGGTTAATAGAGTTCACTCCTGCCCCCACCTGACTAACTGACCACGGATCACCTCATAAACAGCCCAGCTGGTCTGTTTTACATTGTAAAATTGATGACACTCTGTCATATTGGTATTATTGTGTATTATTTCTGTCAATCATATTAATAGATTTTACTTTTGAAGTTCACAAAGTGCTCTGCAGAGAGACTAAAACTAAATAGTCACATTTAGCTAAAAATCAAAGATAGTGAAACAAAGCAAAAAGGGGATTTTTTTGTACTTATTTAGTTAAGCTAGTATGTGTTAATGCTTTTCTGTGTCTTGTCTACTGTGTCTGTCTTCAAATATGGTAAATTTGCAGGAGATGGAAAAATTCAGATTATTCAGAATCATTCAGGATCATCTCTCTTGGTCCCTTAATCAAGAGACGCTCACACAGTATACAGAACTGGCAATTTATATAATGAGCTTTTGAAGTAACAGTCATTATCACACAGTGTAATGTGCCAGGGGTTTCGCCCTGAGTCAGGATTGAACTCACAAGCATTATGAGACGAATCACCTGGTGAACATGAGAGCACAGAGCAACTGAGAGTCGGGAGAAAGAAGCAAGACGGAAAAGAAACGAAAGGGGCTGAGAGCTGGGAAAACAACTAGACAAAGAATGAATTAGAAGGGGAATGTGGTAAACAAGGAAAGTGACTAGTGGTGGGAAGATTGAAGGGGATCGAACCCTCAATCATCGTGTTGCCAGACTTATATGCTACGCAGCTGGTGCCACTGAAGGGGCTTAAAAGGATGACCCGAACTAAGAGCTCCCCAAAACTGAAAGCGGAACCCCCTTCTTTCACCTCGCCCTTGCCTTTCCCTACACTCGGAGAGTGAGACACACTCCTAGTTTTTTTCTTTTTTTTTATACTTATGCTGAAGCACGACTAGAGAAAAGCAAAGACTCAAACCTTGACAGAGATACTGAGGTTACCGGCTGAGTCAGAGCAACGTGCTCGTAGCAGCGTGAACTCAAGACAGAGCGCTGAGCAGCGTGTGAGCACCCCTTAAGTAGGGAGCCCACAGCTGCTCTGCTCATCCCTAATTACTCAGTCCTGGCTCTCTGGCCCCTCTTAACGACTGGGCCAGGTTTTTTAATTAAAGAGATCTTAAAAATGTGCAGTTGTAGTTATCTTTTCAGAAATTGTTAGTCTGGAGTGTCTGTGAGCTGAAAATGCAATAATTTTGATGGTGATTCATTCTTTTGGTTATTATGAGTAAAAATGAACAATTAGCATAAGGCTTGGATTCATGCAGAGTCCTAAAACTCTGATACGCAGCAAGACTGGCTTTATTTTTAATCACAAATTGAGTTGCATATTTAATATCAAATATTTTTAATACTCAAAATAACTGTAGAGCTATAATATCAGAATTTTAGGTGATTTTCCTGATTTTGACGTCACAGCTCGATGACGTCATGCTTGCTAGTTAGGGGCGGGTCTGCTGAATGTGCTGATATGTAGATCATGATTGTATCTTAAACCCTTCTGAAGTTATGAAGGCTAGAACCTGCCGTTTTCCCGCAAATTACGGTGTCCAGTTAACCTCTTAAACTCTATGGGAGGGTTTCTCAGACAGTGATTAAATCTAGTTTTGTTCAACACAGCTCTCTGAATAGAGATTATCCACTGAAAGGACTGTGTAGTCCAGGACTACACTTAATCCCTGTCTGGAACACTGAGTCTCATTACTGTGTTTATTATTTATTTTATCTCATGTCTATGTTTATTATCTATCTCAGTGGTCCGTTTCACATTGTTGACCATCTGCTGCTAAAAGCTCTGTTCAGAGAGAGAGAGAGTTTAGGTAGGTGGTGTGTTAGTGTGTGTTGCACTGGTCTGAGTGGATCAGACACAGCAGTGCTGCTGGAGTTTTTAAACACCTCAGTGTCACTGCTGGACTGAGAATAGTCCACCAACCAAAAATGTCCAGCTAACAGCGTCCTGTGGGCAGCGTCCTGTGACCACTGATGAAGGACTAGAGGATGACCAACACAAACTGTGCAGCAGCAGATAAGCTATTGTCTGTGTTTAAGAACTCCAGCAGCACTGCTGTGTCTGATCCACTCGTACCAGCGCAACACACACTAACACACCACCACTACATCAGTGTTACTGCAGTGCTGAGAATGATCCACAACCCAAACAGTACCTGCTCTGTGAGGGTCCATGGGGGTCCTGACCACTGAAGAACAGGGTAAAAGGGGGCTAACAAAGTATCAGAGAAACAGATGGACTACAGTCTGTAACTGTAGAACTACAAAGTGCACCTATATAGTAAGTGGAGCTGATAAAATGGACAATGAGCATAGAAACAAGGAGGTGGTCAGAATGTTATGCCTGATCAGTGTATATATATATATATATATATATATATATATATATATATATATATATATATATATATATATACATCCTCGTTTGTGAGTCTGAAATGCTGCGTTTTTTCAGAATCTTTTAGTTGCATAACTGACCGCAGTGCATTAACACATATATTACTTCAAGCGTGAAGCATCCAACACAGCCACATCTCTCTCTCTCTCTCTCCCCCTCCTCTTTCTCTCTCTCCCTCCTCTCCCCCCCCCTCTCTCTCCCTTCTCTCTCTTTCTGTCTCTCTCTCTTCCTAATCTCTCTCACTCTCTCTTTGTCTCTCTCTCTCCATCTCTCTCCCTACTCTCTCTCTCTCTCCCTTTCTCTCTTTCTCTCTCTCACTCTCTCTCTGTCTCTCTCTCACTCTCTCTCTCTCTCTCTCTCTCTCTCTCTCTCTCTCTCTCTCTGGATGATGTGATTCACTCTGACAGGCTGAGTCTTTCAGGTTTTAGGCTGTCTCTCTGTTGGACTGAGCTCAGTGAATGAGAGCTGGTTCAGAAGATCACATCTTTCTCTTCATTCACTCAGACTGAAAGTTCTGCTGCGTCTCTCATCATATAATAACTGTAGTTTGTCCAAAAGTCTCCACTGGGTTTCAGTGTAGTGCTGCTGTAGAGGACGTGAATGTTTTTATAGCACTTTGTGGATCAGTGACTGAACAGTGAAGATTGTTTTTGGTCCTGATTAAGAGAAGATTTCTGAGGATCGATCTGAAGGGCTTGAGTACTGAGAGTACATTTACACTGTGAGGAGAAGAGTCACTGTGCAGTTCACCCTACAGCTGAGTGAGTAGTACTGTATCACTGAAAATATGAAGGAGTATTACTGTAAGTATTACTGTGAATATTACTGTTAAAATTAATAAGTATTACTGTAAGTATTACAGTTAAAAGTAATAAGTATTACTGTGAGTATTACTGTTAAAACTAATACGTATTACTGTTAAAAGTAATAAGTATTACAGTTAAAAGTAATAAGTATTACTGTGAATATTACTGTTAAAACTAATAAGTATTACTGTTAAAAGTAATAAGTATTACTGTGAGTATTACTGTTAAAACTAATATGTATTACTGTGAGTATTACTGTTAAAACTAATAAGTATTACTGTGAGTATTACTGTTAAAAGTAATAAGTATTACTGTTAAAAGTAATAAGTATTACTGTGAGTATTACTGTTAAAAGTAATAAGTATTACTGTGAGTATTACTGTTAAAACTAATATGTATTACTGTGAGTATTACTGTTAAAACTAATAAGTATTATGGACCAAAGAATGACTGCAAAATCCAGAGAAAGTGCAGTGAATTGGCTCCTCTCAGTGTAGATCAGAGTGTGATTCCTCTGTCACTTCGGATTATGTTGGTATTTAATCTAGCATGTAAGGCCTTCAGTCCAGCTCCTGAAGTCCTAACCAATAAGAGAGCTGCTCAGCATTATCTACCCACATACCACAGAGAGAACAATCCTGATTGGATCATTTTCTGTTGGATGTTTCAAGATTTTAACCCTTTTGTTTCCACACAAAACTGAGCGATGAACTAAGAGTATAATTACAACACTTACAGGGTTTAAACACAGGCCTGACCGTGTGTGATGTCCTCTGTGCAGGTCAGTATGATCATCAGGCTGGGCAGACTCACTCCGGGGTACTTCAAACTGCTACAGGTCAGTGTCTGTTCATTCATCAACACGAATCACACTCATCTACGGCAATGAAGTCATAATGTGTTTTATATTAATTATGTCTGACTCGTAGCTCACTGAAACTGTCTCTCTCTCTGTCTCTATCTTTCTCTGTCTGTCTGTCTCTCTCTCCCTCTCTCTCTCTCTCTCTCTCTCTCTCTCTCTCTCTTTCTCTGTCTCTCTCTCTCTCTCTCTCTCTCTCTCTCTCTCTTTCTCTGTCTCTCTCTCTCTCTCTCTCTCTTTCTCTCTCTCTCTCTCTCTCTCTCTCTCTCTCTCTCTCTCTCTCTCCCTCTCTCTGTCTCTGTCTTTCTCTGTCTGTCTCTCTCTCTCTCTCTCTCTCTCTCTCTCTCTCTGTCTCTCTCTCTCTGTAGAGGCAGATGTCAGGTGAGGTTCAGGTGCAGCCTCAGTTCGGACCTGTCAATCACGTCGCTATGGCGATGGCGATGGTGGGTGTGAGTGTCTCCTTCTACAGCGCCAGGCAGATGGGTCAACAGCAGGTCCAGCAGGAACCATGCTAAAGACTTGCAGAACCACACTAAAGGAACTATGCTAGAACCACACTAACACCCAGCAAACCATGTTAATGGAATCAGAGAATCACACTACAGAACCGGAGAACCAGGGTAAAAGAACTAGAAAGTTAACAGAACCTGAGGACCACACTAACAGAACAAGAGAACCAGTCTAATACTGTTGGAGGACGACACTAGAAGAATTAGAAAATCACACTAAAGATCTGTAGAACAACACAGAGTCAGAGAACCATTCTAATAGAACTGACGGACAACACTAATGAAAACATAAAATCATGTTAACAGAACCTAAGAACCACACTAACAGAACCATAGAACCATACTAACAGAACCATGCTAATGGAGGCAGTGAACAAAGCTAACAATGTGAGACTGCCATGGTGAATAACCTGGAGAACCTCCATTCAGAACCGGAAAGCACTAAAGGAATCAAGAAATCACACTAACAGAGGAGAGAACCATGCTAAAACAACCAGAGAACCACTCTAACAGATCCAGGAGAACCAAAAGCTAACAGAGCCAGAGAACCGCTAACAGAACTGGAGAATCACGTTGACCAAACCGGAGAACCCAACCAAAAGAATGGAACCACAGAACCAATTGAACTGAAGCAGATAACCAAGTGAACAGAGCCTGAGAGTCACACTAACAGAACCAGAGAACCACACTAACAGAACTGGACAATAAAAATAACAGAACTGGAGAGCCACGCTAAAGATCTAGAAAACCACAGTGAAGGAACAGGAGAACCTTGAGAAAGGGGAAAACCTCACAGTGATGTTAAAATAGAGAATATGTGTTTGAGTGTGGAGGATGGGCTGATAGTAAAGGTCTGAGGCTGAATCTTAAATGGTTCTGGTTCTTCCTGTTCCTTTTCTTCCTATGCTCAGAAAAACCCAGCTGAACCTGAGTGAATGCAGAGAGAACTTTCTAGAGTCTTTCAAGAATCACACACAAAAACTGGGGGTGGCTGATATGAAAAATATAACATCACAATATTTAAAAAATTGTATCTATGGCAAATTGAATGAACTTATCACTACTGTACTAGCGAGCTAATGCACTACATAGTACAGCAGGGAGCTAATGCACTACATAGTACAGTAGGGAGCTAATGCACTACATAGTACAGCAGGGAGCTAATGCACTACATAGTACAGCAGGGAGCTAATGCACTACATAGTACAGCAGGGAGCTAATGCACTGTGTAGTACTGTAGGGATCTAATGCACTACATAGTATAGCAGGGAGCTAATGCACTACATAGTACAGCAGGGAGCTACTGCACTGCATAGTACAGTAGGGAGCTAATGCACTACAGCAGGAAGCTACTGCACTACATAGTACAGTAGGGAACTAATGCACTACATAGTATAGTAGGGAACTAATGCACTACATAGTATAGTAGGGAGCTAATGCACTACATAGTACAGCAGGGAGCTACTGCACTGCATAGTACAGTAGGGAGCTAATGCACTACAGCAGGAAGCTACTGCACTACATAGTACAGTAGGGAACTAATGCACTACATAGTATAGTAGGGAACTAATGCACTACATAGTATAGTAGGGAGCTACTGTACTACATCGTACAGCAGGAAGCTACTGCACTATATAGTACAGCAGGAAGCTACTGCACTACATAGTACAGCAGGAAGCCACTGCACTACATAGTACAGCAGAGAGCTAATGCACTACATAGCATAGTAGGGAGCTACTACACTACATAGTACAGTAGGGAGCCAATGCACTACATAGTACAGCAGGGAGCCAATGCATTACATAGTACAGCAGGGAGCTACTGCACTACATAGTACAGCAGGGAGCTAATGCACTACATAGTACAGCAGGAAGCTACTGCACTACATAGTACAGTAGGGAGCTAATGCACTACATAGTACAGCAGGAAGCTACTGCACTACATAGTACAGCAGGAAGCTACTGCACTACATAGTACAGTAGGGAGCTAATGCACTACATAGTACGGCAGGAAGCTACTGTACTACATAGTACAGCAGGAAGCTACTGCACTACATAGTACAGCAGGAAGCTACTGCACTACATAGTACAGTAGGAAGCTAATGCACTACATAGTACAGCATGGAGCTAATGCACTGTGTAGTACTGTAGGGGACTAGTGCACTACATAATACAGTAGGAAGCTAGTGCACTATGTAGTACAGTAGGGACCTAGTGCACTATGTAGTACAGTAGGGACCTAGTGCACTATGTAGTACAGTAGGGACCAGGTGCACTATGTAGTACAGTAGGGACCTAGTGCGCTACATAGTACAGCAGAAATCTAGTGCACTACATAGTTCAGTACAAAGTAAGTACTGTGTAGGGCTCTATGTAGTGCACTAGCTATGTACTGTGCACTACATAGAGCCCTACACAGGGAGCAGAGAGCTAATGGAGGTTCAGCTTGAGTCTGATCTACAGGACGTCTGGAGGTTGGAGATACAGAATGTAGTGTGTGGGGTTATGCCGGTTATGCAGGTTATGCAGGTTATGTTGTTGATGCAGGTGAGGGAACGATGATTAAACGACACTGTAAGTGAATCTGATGGTTATAATAATTACCGGTTGTCATGGTAATTCTTTACTGACAGTAAGGTATTTGGTAATGCTTTATTTCATTTAGCTCATGCTTTCTCAGCAAATATCTAGAACCCGATGGAATTTCAGAGTAATTTAAATAAACTGTCTTAAAACTTACCATCATGTTACCCAAATAATTGTTTAGTACTTTTGAGTGTGTACCTCATGCTTACTCAATTAATATCTAGAACCTGTTGGGCATTTTATTATAATTTAGTTAGACTGTCTCAGAACTCACCATCATGTAACCCAAATAATTTTATTTTGGAGTTTGTACCTCACGCTCATCCAGTTAAATATCTAGAACTGAAGTGATGTAAAAGAAAACGTTACTGAGTACTTTTATTATCTGCTCCATGTTAAGAGCTCTTGAATGCTGGTCACACTGTCTTTATAATATTTTATATTTATTGAAAACATCACTGAAGCCTCTGGGGTTTGTAATGTGAATGAAATCTTCTGTATTAAATTATTACAGCTATTTTACTGTCAAACTGTATATCATTATTGCAGGTGCAGTCATACTTAATAATGTCAAAACATAACAATATTACACACAAAGAAGTTTAATTCACATCTGTTTAATTATGTCACTTAATGAGTTTAATACGGTTCTCTATCCTCTCTGAATACATCAGCTGTGAAGGAACTTTAACACACTGTGAAACTGTTATTTTACATCACGTCAGTTTGTATCACTCAGATTGTTGTTGTATTTACCAAATAAAGCACACAGGATACTGTAAATTAATGTGTGAGTGACAGTTTCTCATTAGGCTGAATGAATAACCGACTCTAAATGTAGGTATTGTGATATAAACTGAGTCTGTTCTACGGTTTCTCATTAGGCTGAATGAATAACCGACTCTAAATGTAGGTATTGTGATATAAACTGAGTCTGTTCTACGGTTTCTCATTAGGCTGAATGAATAACCGACTCTAAATGTAGGTATTGTGATATAAACTGAGTCTGTTCTACAGTTTCTCATTAGGCTGAATGAATAACTGACTCTAAATGTAGGTATTGTGATATAAACTGAGTCAGTTCTACGGTTTCCCATCAGGTTGAATGAATAACTGACTCTAAATGTAGGTATTGTGATATAAACTGAGTCAGTTCTACGGTTTCTCATCAGGCTGAATGGATATCTGACTCTAAATGTAGGTATTGTGATATAAACTGAGTCAGTTCTACGGTTTCTCATTAGGCTGAATGGATATCTGACTCTAAATGTAGGTATTGTGATATAAACTGAGTCAGTCCTACGGTTTCTCATCAGGCTGAATGAATAACCGACTCTAAATGTAGGTATTGTGATATAAACTGAGTCAGTTCTACGGTTTCTCATCAGGCTGAATGAATAACCGACTCTAAATGTAGGTATTGTGATATAAACTGAGTCTGTTCTACAGTTTCTCATCAGGCTGAATGAATAACCGACTCTAAATGTAGGTATTGTGATATAAACTGAGTCTGTTCTACAGTTTCTCATTAGGCTGAATGAATAACCGACTCTAAATGTAGGTATTGTGATATAAACTGAGTCTGTTCTACAGTTTCTCATTAGGCTGAATGAATAACTGACTCTAAATGTAGGTATTGTGATATAAACCGAGTCTGTTCTACAGTTTCTCATTAGGCTGAATGAATAACCGACTCTAAATGTAGGTATTGTGATATAAACTGAGTCTGTTCTACAGTTTCTCATTAGGCTGAATGAATAACCGACTCTAAATGTAGGTATTGTGATATTATCACTCTAAACCACTGAATTATTCAAAAATGCATTAAAAAATCAGGAATTCCCCTTTAAAGCCTGGTTCCACTGCCTGTGTGTGATCACTGACCGCGTTAACTCCTCTGAGGGGGTTATGTAAGTGTCCTGTGGTGTTTGTATGGGGTCAGTGATGCAGAATATGCGTCTCTTATGAGCTGATATTGTTATGGTTATAGCCGGCTGCACAGTCTGAATACAGAGAGTCACCGAGAGTCACTCAAGAGCTTTTACAGGAGTGGATACTTCAGGTCAGAATGACCGCAGCCATTACGTTATATGAAGACTTTAAAGGAGAATTTAGGAAGATATGCAAACATTGATAAAATCGGTCAGTTCTATTTATTTAGCGAGTGTCCACTCACTAAAAACACTCTGTAGCTTTTGTATGGAGGCGTCTTAAAGAAGGTTCTTGTTGACTTTACTGATAGAGCGGCATCTAGGGAGTGCTGGAGTGACCGGCTAAATGTTCCTCTGACTCAAACACAGAGAGACCGCACACACTGTAGTTAAAGCTGTGTGGGTGGGGCAAACCACATCAGCCTTGTCATTGGTCAGGGCACTGCTTACATGAGCACTTTTCAAGATGGGAAGGGAAGCCCAATTCACACTGACAGAGGAAACTGGTCATTTAGTGGACATGGGAAAGTTATTCACTGGACAGTTTTGTATATTGTGAGCCTACAAGAGCGAGATTGACCTATTTAGAAAGAAAACAAGGATTAGGTTCTCCGGGACAACAAAATCTGAATTAGAATGTTTTTGAAAATCTTATCAAACTCAAACTAATCAACAGTAATATTAATAACAAAACAGGTGCATGTAGTGACCGTTCACAGTGTCTGTTGATTTTTGGTGTACACACAGTTAACTGCACTGTAAATGTGGAATATTTACAGATTTAAGTAAATATAATCAGAATACTATAACTGAAAAATATTGAAGGTCTACAGTGAAATGATCCTGACTGTTAGAGGCAGGTACTGTGCAGATGTGTTAATAACATTATTGTATTAATAACAGTGTTATTGAGAGTGATAAAAGGATTAACTAAGGATTTATGTCTGTTACTGAGCAGGGTTTCAGTTACAGAGTCTCTGTGTGCAGGTTCTGTTTTGATTATCTGGTATCTGACTCCTAAATGGACAGCCAACTGGGCGATTTACTCAAATTAGTTGTGTATGAGGCCATGTGAACGATGTGGCTCCTCAGCTGATAATATTACTGAGTTGATAATAACTTTGTTACAGCTGTTCCTTATCGGAGCTTCAGGCTAATCATTGCCTCCCCCTAGTGGCCACTCTGAGTACTGCATTTTTAGTGATACGTGTACAGTGTACTTCCTTCATGCTTGAAATATGAAAAACATTACATACCAGGTTTTGCTAAAGGAAATAGCGAGTGTTGAAATGTGTGCAGTATTAATAAGAGTCATCTCAGTCGTGAATATGAAGATCTGAGTGCTGTTCTTCACTGAGTGTTTCATCAGGTTATGAAGGAGGGTGGTGATGTTCAGACTGGGCCATGGTGACATCTATAAGAGTTCTGTATGATAACTACAGTCACTGTAAAGCTACTTTCTCTCTGCTTGTGAATTCCTATTTAGCCAGACTTTAATCTACAGGTCATTTAAAACAGTGGATATTCACAGTTTGTTTACTGAACTGTTTATGTGCTGATGAGTTACAGGTGAACCTGTTCTTTCTGGTGTGTAGCAAATCTGCAGTACAGATTTAAATGTAATATCAGTACTGTTTGTTTATATCATTAGAGATTAGAGATTAAGAGTGGAAGTACTGGGGGGAAATACATAAATATATATATATTACTCTACAGCAAACACAAGACCCTTGCTAACTGACCCACAGCCCAACACAAATAACACATAAACACATCATAAATTAACAGAACAATAACATTAACAACAGTAAACAATGTCCCTTTTGATGGGGAGGCCCTTCATACCGCACCCCCAAAGCTCCTCTCCCGAAACTGGAGCCAGTCGCTGCAACCACATAGCCCCCCTCTCAAGGGTCAGCTGTCAGACCCTAGACATGTGGAGTCCCAGCCAGAGGGCCACTGGGCCACTGAGCATTCACCAGTCCTCCCTCAGGGTCATGTCCCTGGTGCTACAGCAGCAACAGCCCTTCTTTCAGCCGCCCTCCACTTTCCCTGCCGTCCACTGCGCTGGTGATGCCGCAGATGCCGCTCTTGTGCACTGGAGCCCTGACTCTCTGTCTCATTTCCGCTACTGGTGACTGACCTGAGCTGGACGTTGAGTGGCTGCTGCAGTGAAATATATAGAGTGAAAGTTAAAAGTATCTACTTTTAAAAGCACTTAAGTGTATAAAACTAAGCAGCTAATATTACTCATTAATATAGCTGTTTCTCCACTGATAGGCAAAAAAAAACAGAAATATCTGCTGGTCTCTCAGATCTGCAGTGAGTATTTTTGAAATGTAAAGACTGAAAAGTGTTTGAAATGTAACTAAACCTGCAAATGTTCAATTTTACTAAAACATCTTCTAAGATAAAAATGAAGTGCAGAAACAAAGTTTATTATCTGCAGTGTTTTTAATGTTAGTTGTACCACGAGCACAAAACTCAAACTGTGCCTGTAGGCGGGGCAGATGAGCAGGGAGGAGGGGCAGAGAGAGAGAGAGAGAGAGAGATAGGCAGACAGACAGGGGAGAAACTGACCACAGCTCAGGACTCACAACAATTCAGAGGATTCCAGACGGACCCGATTTAAGTAATGGATATAATGTCTGTGTTCTGGGAAAGTTTTGGAGCTTGAAAATGACTTTAGGTGACTAAAGATGATCTTTGGAGTTTGAAGTTAATTTTCTGGGGGTTTGAAAATGATAATCTAGAGTTTGAAGATGAATATTTGGAGTTTCAAGATAATCTCTGACATTTGAAGATGACATTTTAGAATTTGAAGATGATTTCTGGAGTTTAAAGATGGTAATTTGGAGTTTTAAGATGGTAATTTGGAGTTTTAAGATGTTTTTTGGTGTTTGAAAATGATTATTTGGAGTTTGAGAATGACTTCTAGAGCTTAAAGATGATTTTTGGAGTTTTAGGATAACTGTCGGTAGTCTGGATGTTGGAGTTTTACGCAGCAGCCCTGGAGCTGTTAGGATAGTGGAGAGCTGCTTTAACTCTGAGTGGAGAAGTTAAAATCAGGTGTTTGAGGTTCATCTTCACGTCGTTAAGTTCTGAGTGTAACTATGCTCAGTTTTAAAGGAAACAGTATTGTAAATACAGAAAACAACTCAAACCCAAAGCTTTTATTACACAGATAGGTTTACGGTGTTACAACGTCCAGTGTCTGCATCTGAGTGGTCAGATCTGACGGTCAGTATGTATAAATAATAATAACTGACTGATCTGCGTGCAGTAAAACTCAAATACCCACAGCGCATTTCACTGGACAACAGCTGGACCTTTTTTCTCTTGTTGGCGCGGTTATTGCTGCCTCTGTAGTGCAGTATGGGTCTGTACGGGCTGTTATGGTCAGTGCTGCTGATGGTGCTGGTGTCCAGCTTGGTTCCTGTGGGCAGTGATGCAGGTCCAGTTCTTGATGGGGTCACTCAGACAGAGACCCCCAGGGCCCCTCATACACCCCCACACACACACCCAGAGGGGCCTGGCGGTCCGCACACACACAGCCGTGCCTTCCCCGTCCTCACCTTCCAGTTCGAGACCGTGCGGAGACCCTTCGAGATCTCGCTGTGGATTCTTCTGGCGTCCCTGCTGAAGCTGGGTGAGTCCTGCATGTAGATTCAGAGGACAAACCGGTCGATCCACTCTGACCTGGATTTAAACTAAACAGAAAGATGATATTTAATATTTTACCCACTCAGCTTTATTGGTTTGGTAAATATAAGCTTATTCTGAAACTGATGCCTACAACACAGAGAAGCTGTCCACTGCAAAAAATGGTGTCTTGTCAAATGAAATGATCTTAAATCTAGTCAATATATCTAATATTTCACATTTTGAGGTGGTTGTGCACTTATTATATGATTATCCATCTTATTTCTAGACTTTATTTACTTGTTTTAGGTACTTTTATTGAGTAAAATGATCTCAAAATACAGGCAGATGATTTAGCTGGTTTCAAGCTCATTTCTTACAACAAGCACATCTGCTAATATACTGAGATACGTCTACTTAATAAAATCACTTAAACCAAGTGAAAAAATGTGTTGTATTAAGGTAAATAATCTTACATTAATAGAACAACCTCAACAGGACAAATATTAAATGTACTGACCAGATACCATTTCTTGCAGTGTTGGAGGTGCTGAACTTCATATAGCATATACGTGACATGAATGATGACGTCATACTAAATTATTTGCATTTTTTCTAATTTTAAAAATGTCATATTTCACTATAATAAAACATGAAACGACAATCTATACACATGACTGACACATCAGACCACTGCTGCACATCCTCAACTTACTCTCGCATTCTGGACAAACTTCACACAAATGAGCTGAGCAGTGACCAATCAGATTGTTGATTTGTGGTGCAGTAAACATTTGAATCACCCTTACAGTCACACTGAGAGGTTTAACACTAGAACACACACTAAGCGAGAGATGATGGTTGATTAAAAAAATGTAATTACTGTAGATTATTTTCTTAAAGTTTATAAACCGTTTGACAGTAAGTTGATCAGTAAGTTGAACTGTAAGTTAAATGGAAAGTTGAACAATAAGCTGATTAGCAAGTTGAACTCCAAGTTCAACAGTAAGTTGATCAGTCAGATGATCAATAAGTTCATCGGTAAGCTGATCAGTCAGTTAAGCTGTACGTTTGAGGGGAGTCATAAGAAGAGGTTTGCCTTACGTCAGCATTAATTAAAAATTGATCCTGTGCTAAATAAAGCAGCTGAGGTTGGTCCTGTTGGTCAATGGATGCGTGTGTGCTTGCTGGCTGAGTTCATTTCAATATTCAGGTCCTATCATTTCCAGTGACTTTGATTAGGACACACAGCCAGAGAGACCAGCACACACACTCCCCGAACAGCTGTACAGCCTGATAAAGCCCTTCATTAGCTTACAGAGGAAACACTGATGCTGCTTGCTGAGGTATTTTATGTCCAGTGCCTGCAGATATGGGTTAAAACAGTCCTGGAGAACACCTAGAATTAATCACCCAAACCAGGCTCCGCCCACAAATGTGTTTTTCTAAGCTACTGTTGTAGGCCTGTGCCCAGTGACGGTGAACTGAGTTATCACGGTAACAGTGAGATGCAGTCCCATTTCTTTCTAAAAAAGTTGGGATGCTGAGCAGAATGTAAACAAAAATACGATGCAATGATCTGCAAATCATATAAACCATATTTTTAAAGGAAAATACTACAAAGACATATAAAATGTTGAAACTGAGAAATTTTATTGTTTTTTGAGAAATATTTGCCCATTTTAAATTTGATGCCAACAACATGTTCCAAAAAAGTTGGGACGGGGGCCTGTTTACCACTGTGCTTCATCACCTCTTCTTTATCAACACTCTGTAAGTGTTTGTGAACTGAGGAGACACTGCTGTAGTTTAGAGAGTGAAATGTTTTCCTGTTCTTGTTTGATACAGGATTTCAGCTGCTCATCAGTTCAGGGGCTCATTTGTCGTATTTTTCATTTTATAATGTGCCAGATGTTTTCAGTGGTGACAGGTCTGGACTGTAGGCAGGTCAGTTTAGCACCCGGACTCTTTTAAAACAGAGCAATGCTGCTGTAATACATGCAGAATGTGGTTTGACATTGTCTTGCTAAAATAATCAAGGCCTTCCTGAAAAAGACGTCATCTGGATGGCAGCATATGTTGCCAAATCATGTATATATCGTTCAGCATTAATGGTCCCTTCACAGATGTGCACGTCACCCATACCATGTGCACTAATGCCCCCCTATACCATCATGAATACTGGCTTTTGAACTGTGCACTGATAACAAGCTGGGTGGTCTTTAGCCTGGAGGACACAGTGTCCATGATTTCCAAAAAGAATTTCAAGTGTTGATTCGTCAGACCACAGGGCACTTTTCCCCTTCCCTTCAGTCCATTTTAAATGAGCTCAGGCCCAGAGAAGGTGGCAGCATTTCTGGGTCCTGTTTATATATGATTTCTTCTTTACGTTTTAGAGTTTTAACTTGCATTTGTGCATGCAGCGATGAACAGACAGTGGTTTTCAGAAGTATTTCTGAGCCCATGCAGTGATTTCCTTTACAGTATCATGCCTGTTTTTAATGCAGTGCTGTCTGAGGGCCCAAAGATCACGACCAGCAAATACTGCTTATTCTTGAATAATTGCACTATTTGATGGTGCAGTCTTTCACAGAGTGGTGAGCCCCTCCCCATCTTTACTTCTGAAAGACTCCGCCTCTCTGAGATGCTTTTCTATATCCAATCATGTTACTGACGTGTTTCTAATTAACCATGAGGGTTTTTTAGCATTACACAACTTTACCAGCCTTTTGTTGCCCCCGTGCCAAATTTTTTTGGAACGTGTTGTTGGCATCAACATGGACATACATTTTTCAAAACAAACAAATTTCTCAGTTTTTGTTATGTTGTCTTTGTACTGTTTTCAATTAATTATAGTGTTTAAATGATTTGCACATTGTTGCATTTTGTTTTTATTTACACTTTGCACAGCGTCCCAACGTTTTTGGAAATGGGGTTGTAAAATATTCATTCAACCTAATGAGAAACTGTAGAACGGACTCAGTTTATATCACAATACCTACATTTAGAGTTGGTTATTCTTTCCTAATCATGTTTATTTTGTATGTACAATAAAGGTAAAGCTGTTAAGATATATTATCCAGAGGTTTTTGTTAATTCAAGGTTTTTAGGTAAACAACATCTGCTTTGTAGTTATTCTGGCTAATTTTGTACACATTATGTACACGGTGTTCAGTAGCCCCTCTACCCCGGGCTGCCCTATCAGGGAGAACAGACTGTGTGGTGTGGCGAGATTCCCCAGACAGACTCAGCTCCACCCTAACGAACACAAAACACATAGAGTTTCACCCACAATTCTTCACAACACCCTCCTCTATTTTAGCTTGCAGAGACCATTACTGAACATCTGTAGATCTTTCAGATCAATTACAGAGCTCAGCCGTTGTCTGGAACACTCTCTGAATACAGCTAATGTGTTTTTATTTATTAAGTTAATTATTTACTCGGTCATTTTTATCAAAACAGTTTAAAAAACACAGCAATAACAACCAGGTTTGCTAACTAAACCTCTAAATCATCCCATAAACATTGACTTTGGATTTTTTATCAAAAATAATATTAATAATGATAATAATCTTTCTCACAGTCATTTTGATACACTATTTGACAGATTGATTCAAAGTGAAAGTTCAAGGTGTTGGTGGTGACCCTTGAGGAACAGTGTTGGAGTAAACTTCTTATTTCGTAGTTCGGATGAAAGTTTTCTATTTCTCTGTTGTTCAGTTGGACCCAATGTATTGATTATTAGTCAGAATATTGCTGAAATGATTCAAGGCTGAAGAGTTCCTGTTATATGCACAGAGGAACAGACAGTGAAACTGTCCAATGAAATTCTTACATTGCATTACAATTTACTAAAACGCTATATAGACACTAAGCACTGGGCAAAAAAAATACAAAATACAGAAGAAGAAGAGCGAAAACGTATATACATTAAGAAGATGTACTATTTATATTATATACTGTATAGGCTGTATGAGTTTGTAACTGTGGCAAATTCTAACAGGCATTAAAACAGAGCGTATGTACAGTGTAATACTGTGCAATAGCAGCGAAATGAACTCGTTTCTTTAAAAATATGTACATGTATATGTATATGGTTATATACTATACATATTGTGTACATATGCAGTTTTAAAAATAATAAATACAAAAAAGTGGTGTTTGAAGATTGCACAACACCAACTGTGTTCCTTCAGAATAAACAAAATTATTTTAAAAAGCTGTAAAGTGACCTTTGAAAAAGATTTTGTTGAAAATATATAAAATGTAATTATTATAATTTGTTAAAAAAAGTATTTGCGACTATAAGAAGATTTTAATAAGAGATTATTCTTTAAAATCACGTATAATAATTGACAGAAATGGTTTGATTTATGATAATAGCCTTTAGAAGTCTGTAGTTGTTGTAATTTTGCTGCACTACATAACTACGTAATTACATAATTAATTGCATAGTTGCAAAATTAATGGCATTTGCATTTGATTTCCATTCTGCGTGGGCAGGTTCGAGTCTGGCCTGCAGACTTTTTTCTGTTTATTGAAGAAAAAAATGGCAAAAACATCAAAAAAGTGAATGGATGTTTCTTTCTGCATAACAAGACTGTAAACACAACAATAAGATTTCATCAAATTCAAATGATAATTAATATTTTCTGTTCTGTTCACAGACACTAATGAGGTCTGGATTGAAAGTGTAGAATCTGCAGTTTCCACACAGTTTCTCCAGTTGTTTCAGTGAACGATGAGTCAGAAATAATTCATTCCAAATTACAGCAGGATCTTTTTTTCATCTGCTCTATATATGAAACGATGCTGTCTGTCTGCCAGGCTTCCATGTGATCCCTCACTTCTCCAGCGTGGTTCCCGAGAGCTGTGTGCTGATCGTGGTGGGGCTGTTGGTGGGGGCTTTAATAAAGCTGCTGGGGGAGACCCTGCCTGTGCTGGACACTCAGCTCTTCTTCCTCGTCCTGCTGCCGCCCATCATCCTGGACGCAGGGTATTTCCTGCCTATCCGGCCCTTCAGCGAGAACGTGGGCACCATCCTGGTGTTCGCGGTGGTGGGGACGGTGTGGAACTCCTTCTTTATGGGTGTGGTGCTGTACGGGGTGTGTGTGGTTGAGGGGTCCGAGCTGGCCGGAGTGGGCCTGTTGGCCTGCCTGCTCTTTGGCTCCATCGCCTCCGCCGTTGACCCCGTGGCTGTCCTCGCCGTCTTCGAGGAGATCCACATCCACGAGCTCCTGCACATCCTGGTGTTCGGAGAGTCACTGCTCAATGATGCTGTCACTGTGGTGAGTGGAAGGTGAAAGAGGGGTGAATTAAAATGAGAATTCACCCAGCCAGCCCCCCCCATACCCAAATGCAGGTGGTCTGCCAAGACATGTTTGGTGTCTGAAGTTTGCTAACAGGTAACGGAAGCTTATAGCCCACCAATTAACACAATGCCGAAATCATCAAAGACTCTCCTCAAAGTGTGCGGAGTTGTTTAGTAATCTCTAATGGAGATGATGTGGTTTCTGAGACTGTATGACTCAATCAGGGAATCATGGGTCAAAGATGTCAATCAGGGACAGTCTTCTGTAAACATAGACCAAAGCCTAAATACATTAACAGAGCTAAAAACAGTAGCAGCATTTAGAATACTAACCTATATACAAACTGTAAAATCAGGGACAGCCTTATGACCACTCAGGGACAGACTTCTGACCACTCAGGGAGAGGCTTTGAACCATCAGGGACAGTGTTTTGACCAGTCAGGGACAGCCTTCTGACCCCCAAGAGACAGCCTTTTGATCGATCAGGGACAGCCTTCTGACCAATCAGGGACAGCCTTCTGACCACTCAGGGACAGCCTTCTGATCACTCAGGGACAGACTTCTAACTAATCAGGCGATCCTTATGATCACTCAGGGACAGCCTTCTGAACAATCGGGGACAGTCCTCTGACCAATCAGGGACAGCCCTCTGACCAGTCAGCGACAGTGTTCTGACCAATCAGGAACAACCTTATGACAAATCAAGGACAGCCTTCTGATCTATCAGGGACAGTGTTTTGACCAATCAGTGACAGATTTCTGACCAATCAGGGACAGCCTTTTGACCTATCAGAGACAGATTTCTGACCAATCAGGGAAAGTCTTTTTAACCTAAAACCACAGCTGTGTCTTTTAGGTTTAGTGAAGCTCAAACTCAGGAACCGGTCAGGAACCCTGATGAAGACGGACGCGCTTTAGGAGAGGATCATATTCTCGTTGTACTTGTTTGTTTGTTCCCATGTTTATTTATGCTCTTTTCTCTCGTTCCTCAGGTGCTGTACCACCTGTTTGAGGAGTTTGCGACTCTGGGCGAGGTGACTGTGATTGACGTCTTCCTGGGTGTGCTGTGTTTCTTCGTGGTGGCGTTGGGGGGTGTTTTGGTGGGGGCGGTTTTCGGGCTGCTGGCGGCCTTCACCTCCCGCTTCACCTCTCACACTCGCGTCATCGAGCCGCTCTTCGTCTTCCTGTACAGCTACATGGCCTACCTGTCCGCTGAGGTGTTCCACCTGTCGGGCATCATGGCGTGAGTGACCTCCTCTGACTCCGTCCACTTTAGAGAACACCCTCTTTGAACTGATTCCTGCTGTTCTGTGCCACTTTCTTTGAAGTAATAGTTCAGCAAAACATCAAGCAGCGTTCCAGCATTCTTAAAAAGTATAGTCTTCAATTAGATTTGAAATGATTGTGAATTTATAATGTCTAAAAATGTCTTATTTATGTCTTAACTAGAGGTATCGAGGGATGTCCAGACATATTGTAATGGAACAGGTATCAGATAAAATAAGACCGATCCAGTTCCGATCATTTGTTTCGTTTTTGCTGTCATAGATGCTTCTACAGTCTGGAACTACTTAAAGATGGAAAATGAAAAGCATTATCTGCAGCTCCAGTGTTTCTACTATGTTTTAACTAACCACCTAAACATGGGTGCATAAAATGTGAGCATTGGACTGGACTGTTTTCTGCTGCTTTTTGGGAGAAACATGCAGCCAAAACCATGTAGTTTTTCAGTCGAGAGTTGCGACTGGCTGAAAACGAAACTATCAAGGAAACTGCTATGCTGCTTCTGGTTTTAAACAGCTTGTTTAAAACTACGAGAAAGGAGCAGCTACTGATCACAGGTTGCAGCGATATGAAATCATAGTGTAGTCACCATACTGTAAAATCACTATTTCACATATATAATCCACAAAAAACACAATATGTAACATCAAAATGTAACACCATGCACATTTCAAAAGTTTTAGAGTAACCAGTAGAAACATCATCAGAGACATCAATAAAACTACATTGTAAGTATTGAACAGTATGCCAAAATTCACATGCTGTTCACATGCTAAAAATGAAGTCATTTCAATGTGGTATCAAAAATAAATTGTGCAGTTGTATTATCTATGAAAAGTCCTGTGATCTAAACTGACTACTAAAAATACACTGAGAAGACTGTGCAAGGATCAACACAGACATCGAAGCAAGAATCCATTTTTCAACCAGTCAGTTTGGATAGAAAAGACATTAATGCATGCCACATTAAAGTGTATGTGTACATTAGCATAGATAAACGCAGTAGCACTGAACTGAGGCATCTCTTCCCAGGCTGATTGCGTGTGGGGTGGTGATGCGTCCCTACGTGGAGGCCAACATTTCCCATAAGTCCTACACCACCATTAAGTACTTCCTGAAGATGTGGAGCAGCGTGAGTGAAACGCTCATCTTCATCTTCCTCGGAGCGTCCACTGTAGCCGGAACGCATGCGTGGAACTGGACCTTCGTCATAGCAACCATCATCCTCTGCCTCGTCTCGCGTGTGCTCGGTGAGTTAGCAGAAAAAAACACACATCAATGATGAATACAGGTCATTAATTTATGGGAATTTTGGTTGATCATAATTATTCCTTGGTTTATTTTATTGAACTGTTTTCTTGTTTGTATTTTTTCATTCCCAAATTCTTAAATCTAGTTTCTGTATTTAATTTTTTACAATTGTAAATCTATTTTATGACATTGTGATTGTGCATGGTTATACGGATATACCATATTAGCAGCTGTCTTGAGTTTCTAATGAAATGAATCTGTGGAGCAGGAGTGGTGGGACTGACCTACATCCTCAATAAGTTCCGCATGGTGAAGCTGACGGGTAAAGACCAGTTTATCGTGGCCTATGGTGGCCTGCGAGGGGCTATCGCCTTCTCTCTGTCCTTCCTTCTGTCCAGCAAACATTTCCCCATGAAGAACATGTTCCTCACCGCAATCATCACAGTTGTCTTCTTCACTGTGTTTGTACAGGTCAGTGTGATGGACAGGGTCACCATTCCAAATCATTACTGATACTTTAACCATCACAAATCATTACTGATATAGTTATCATGATAAATCATTACTGATACAGTTACCATCACAAATCATTACTGATATAGTTATCATGATAAATCATTACTGATACAGTTACCATCTCAAATTATTACTGATACAGTTACCATCACAAATCATTACTGATATAGTTATCATGATAAATCATTACAGATACAGTTACCATTCCAAATCATTACTGATACAGTTACCATGATAAATCATTACCGATACAGTTACCATTCCAAATCATTACTGATACAGTTACCATCACAAATCATTACTGATACAGTTACCATTCCAAATCATTACTGATACAGTTACCATTCCAAATCATTACTGATACAGTTACCATGATAAATCATTACTGATATTGTTATCATGATAAATCATTACTGATACTCTAACCATCACAAATCATTACTGATATAGTTATCATGATAAATCATTACTGATATTGTTATCATGATAAATCATTACTGATACTCTAACCATCACAAATCATTACTGATATAGTTATCATGATAAATTATTACTGATTCAGTTACCATCACAAATCATTACTGATATAGTTATCATGATAAATCATTACTGATACTCTAACCATCACAAATCACTACTGATATAGTTATCATCACAAATCATTACTGATATAGTTATCATGATAAATCATTACCGATACAGTTACCATTCCAAATCATTACCGATACAGTTACCATCACAAATCATTACTGATATAGTTACCATGATAAATTATTACTGATACAGTTACCATCACAAATCATTACTGATATAGTTATCATGATAAATCATTACTGATACAGTTATCATGATAAATTATTACTGATACAGTTACCATCACAAATCATTACTGATATAGTTACCATGATAAATTATTACTGATACAGTTACCATCACAAATCATTACTGATATAGTTACCATGATAAATTATTACTGATACAGTTACCATCACAAATCATTACTGATATAGTTATCATGATAAATCATTACTGATACATTTACCATCACAAATCATAACTGATATAGTTATCATGATAAATCATTACTGATACAGTTACCATCACAAATCATTACTGATACAGTTATCATGATAAATTATTACTGATACAGTTACCATCACAAATCATTACTGATACAGTTATCATGATAAATCATTACTGATATAGTTACCATTCCAAATCATTACTGATACAGTTACCATCTCAAATCATTACTGATACAGTTACCATCTCAAATCATTACCGATACAGATAACATCTCATATCATTACTGATACAGTTACCATCTTAAATCATTACCGATACAGATAACATCTCATATCATTACCAATACCATTACCGTCTCATATCTTTACTGATACTGTTACCATATCAAATCATTACTGATACAGTTACTATCCCAAATCATTACCGATACAGTTACCATCTCAAACCATTACCGATACAGTTACCATCTCAAATCATTACCGATACAGATAACATCTCATATCATTACCGATACCGTTACCATCTCATATCATTACTGATACAGATAACATCTCAAATAATTACTGATACAATTACTATCCCAAATCATTACCGATACAGTTACCATCTCAAACCATTACAGTTCAGTTACCGTGAACAGTGCATACACAGTTTGTTTGTAGTCTTCATTGGTTTCATGGACTAAATCTTGCATAACTTCACTTTATAACAATTTTAAAACTTCGATTAAAGGCAGTATCTATATAAAAATGCCCAATGCAGTGCAGAGAAGGTGAGGAAACCGGAGAGACTGGTACCCTTATTTGGAGAATGTCAGAGCTCTTGAAATGTACCTGTTTTTTTCCAGACTAATTTATTAGCACCCTGATCTACCTGTATTTAGAGCCACACACATCACCAGAACAGTAAACAAAGCTGGTCTTTTTTATTCAGGGCATGACCATTCGACCACTGGTTGACCTTCTGGCTGTGAAGAAGAAAAAACAGACGAAGTCTACAATAAACGAAGAGATACACACACAGGTGGGTCTGTTTCACCAGTAACATCACTGCAAATAAGTAAGGGTACCTGTTATCGCCAGGGTAGTGGTTCTAGCTATATGTAGATAACTAATGCTAAGAGACTTTTTCGTGCTTCGACAGTGAAACTTTAGAAGGGTAACATAATAGTTTGACCAATTAAAAATCCCCTCCTTACCACAAATCCAGCCAAAACAGCCAAGCCGTGTTTGGTGTCCATAGTTTGCTTTTTTAGTTGCAGCACTGGAGCTGCAAGGTTAATGTAGCTAACGAGTAATGGAATCTAATAGTCCACCAATTAGCAATATCTTAATGAACAGCCAAACACAAAACAGATCAGGACCATTCTAATCACCAGATCTGTCCACACCAGCCGCGAATGCCTTAGAGAGAAGAGACAGGTCATCAGATCAGGACTGAAGATCATTACAGAGTGAGGCCTTTTGGATTTGGGAACTTTTATCTCTGTTCTTCCAACGAAGATCTTAATCTCCATTGTTTTCTATTAAAGGGCCTGTTTTTGATCAATGTATAGTACTTTGAAATGGTTTTTGATGCATTTGTCTTCTGAGCACTGAGTATGTCCTTTTACTGTACTGTCACTTAACGTCCAGCAGAACCTACACAGGTGAGGGCAGTTTGTTTGGGTCTGAAAAACACGGGGTGAGTGAGTTGCCCTATGAGCACTGGTGATAGAAGAAGCTGAGATGTGTGTGTCTGGCTTTATAGACCATTTTCACACTTCCGTGTTTGTTAATGCGTAAAAGTGCATAGTAGAGTTAAATACTGGGGGGATTAGTTGAGACTGGGGGCAGTCGTGGGCTGGAGGTTAGGGAACCAGTGACCGGAAGGTCGCCGGAACGATCCCCTGAGCCGACAGTACGTGACTGAGGTGCCCCTGAGCAAGGTGCCCAACCCCCAACTGCTCCCCGGGTGCTGTGGATAGAGCTGCCCACTGCCCTGGGCAAGTGTTCTCACTGCCCCCTAGTGTGTAAAAATGGCTTCCGATTGGCTGTAAACTGTGGCTGATGACCCTGTATAAAACCTCTTAACACTTAAGATTTTCGCCATCTTCTCTAAAGCTACTGTTCCACTATTTTTGGACAGTGGCCATACGTGACATTTGCCTCAGGATCTTTAGCTAACTGCTAATGCTAATGAGTGGGCTATAAGCTTCCATTAGTTAGCCACACTGGCCTCGTTGCTCCAGTGCTAAAACTAAAGAAGCGAACTACAGACACCGAACACGCTGAGCTACACTGTTAGAATGGACCATTGCTCTTGCTGTAGGTGTCGTACTGCAGTGTCTTTGTTGTGTTTCATTCTGGAATGTTCTCTGTGCTCATTCCTGTGTCCTCCTGCAGGTTCTTGAGCATCTGCTCGTGGGCATCGAGGGCGTCTGTGGTCACTATGGTCACCATCACTGGAGGGATAAGTACGTTACAGCAGTATTACGACAAATCAGTTTGATCTTTGTAGTCATCTGAGAACGTGAGAACATCTCCCGCCTCTCTCTCTTTATTTCTCTTTATCTCTCTGTCTCTCTCGCTCTCTCTTTCTGCATCTCTCTCTCTCTCTCTTTCTTTCTCTCTCTCTCTCTGTCTCTCTCTCTCTTTCTCTCTCTCTCTCTCTCTTCTCTCTCTCTGTCTTTCTCTCTCTTTCTCTCTCTCTCTCTCTCTCTCTTTTTCTCTCTCTCTCTGTCTCTCTCTCCCTCTCACTCTCTCTCTCTCTCTGCACCCCCCCCGTCAGGCTGGATCGGTTTAATAAGGACTATCTGAGGCGCTGGCTGATAGCGGGGGCGCGATCTCAGGAGCCGCAGCTGATCTCCTTCTATAATAAGCTGGAGCTGGAGCAGGCGCTCCGGGTGGCCGAGAGGGGCAGTGCAGCCAGACTGACCCCAGCGCTGCCCCCTACTGCATCCTTACTGTAAGCGCTGCCTTAGATTTCTCAGCACCATTCATTTAGACAGAGATGGCTCTGAGGTTTTAGAGCTCTTCCCACAGAAGGAGTCCTCCCCCAAAACATAAACATAAACAAACATACAGCGGCAGGATGAGGTTACTGCTGACGCCACTGACCTTGAACCAGTCAGGGCTTTAGAGCACAGCGTTCCCACAGAGAGAGAGAGAGAGAGAGAGAGAGGAACAATACAGAGAGACGAAAACACAAACAAAAAGCTGTAGCTCCTCAGAAGAAACTCCAGCTTGGGTGGAAGTCAGCCAACTAGCGAAAAGCCTATGTTTACTAGTTTTGTTAATGCAAATAAATTGTTTTAAAGACAGTATCTGGGCTGGACAGTGCAACATCATCACATGTTAATCTCACAAGAAAACAAAAAAGGTAACATATGAAACACCTATTTTTAGTAAAACATTTCAATTGCCATTTTGAAATCCTATGACAACAGTTCATGTGCAGGTTTTGTCTCTTTTAATGATTCACAAGCCGCTACATGAGTGCTAACAGTGCCCCCTTTTGGGGAATCTGACTTATTGTGGAGAAAACAAACTCTGTATTTCACAAACTGAATACTAAAATTAAATTAAATTTTACATGGTGGGTCTGTTTTTTTACAGTTAATGTGAGAAGTTGTTCCACAAACTGAGATTGATACTGTGGCGTCAGCGTGGAGGAAGATGCAGGAGGGGCCATTACTCCTGCAACAAGAAGCGCTCTTTTATTTACACCAGCAGAAAAAGGCTCATTACACACAGCAAAGCCATGTGGCAGATACCACAGTATTTTTAGAAGAATCATCAGTACTTTTTATTTCAGTGCTACAACATTTTGATTAGTCCCACTTGCAAATTTTGGATCAGCCTCTTGTGCATAATCCATGTCTGGGAAGCCAGTCCAACATCAGATAAGTTAAAAACGACTGTGTTTCTGTGTGTTCAGCAGTTTGCAAGTTGATATGTTTATAATGGGAGTATCAGAATGCACTGCAATCAGTTCTTGTAAATAGGGTGTATTAAAAACACTGCAGTCATGAGTACTCAAAGCCATGGCAATGTGAACAAACCCCTCCAGAATGCGGTGGGCTTTCTTTCACTTTTTAAGCTTTTATTTTCTGGCAGGAACCAGAGACTGCTACTGTATTTGTAACAGTGCCGTCACATTGGTGCATTACCTTCAGGCTCTGTGTTGCACAATGTGCAAGGTTATTGCTCCCTACTGGTCTGGCATGCTCATGTGAGATTTTCGAGTTGTTTTGCATTCCTGTGTGGACAAAATGCTGCTGTTTTATTGCAAAAGTTTAAAAAATATCCAAGTATATGTGGGTGACCAGGCTAACATTTGCCCAAACTGTGGCACTGTAGGACTACAACTACCCTCTAAGCTGCTTCTGCTGGTAGCTGGTTTAAGGTGGTTTACAATAGTCTTTGGTGGTCAAGGTGGTGAGAAGCTGGACACCCAGTTGGACCAGGAGAAAACATACCGTATGCTGGTCAACCAGCTTAACAGGCTTGACTAGGTTGAGCTGGCCAAGCTGTTTTTGTTTTTTCAGCAGATTTTTATTTATTTATTTTTTAATTTCAGTGCTGAGTCCCAGAAGCGGAGTAGGACCATGATGAAGATCTCTAAAGAGAGAGAGGAGGAAATCCGGAAGATTCTCAGAGCAAATCTGCAGAAAACACGCCAGAGGGTACACACACACACACACACACACACACACACACACACACACACGTAAACATATAAACATAACGCAGCTGGTATTTAATCCTAGACACTGATCTGAGATCATGTTTGTTAGTGCTGTAATGAGAATTCCGCTCACTGTGTGTGTGTGTGTGTGTGTGTGTGTGTGTGTGTGTGTGTGTGTGTGTGTGTGTAGCTGCGTTCGTACAGCAGACACACACTTGTCCTGGAGGGTGAAGAGGACAACTGGACTGAAGCGAAACTCCGGAGACAAAGAGTGGAGATGGGGAGGAGGGTAAGGTTAAGCATAAACATCAACATCACAGATTATATACCAGTATTACAGATAACAGACCCAGCATTCAGATTACAGATTACACCAGATTACAGATTATTCTCCAACATTACATATTACACTGTTCAGATTATAGTCCAACTGTTTCATTGATAACAAATCTGTTTAGATTACTTAGATTAATTGTTTAGATTACACCTCACCTGTTCAGATTATAGTCCAGCTGTTCAGATTATTGTCCAACTGTTCTGATTATAACCAGTCTATTCAGATCTTAGTCCAGCTGTTCCAATTATACCTCATTTGTTCACATTATAGTCCAGCTGTTCAGATTATACCCCATCTGTTCAAATTTTACTCCATTTGTTCAAATTATAGTCCAGCTGATTGGATTATACTATGTCTGCTCAGACTCCCCCGTTTTATCTTTTAGAATGCTTTATTTTGTTTGTTTTGAAAATAATCTGCCCGTTGAGGTTATGACCAGCACGCTGAGATTAAATCTCTGAGACTGAATTCTATGTTTTATAGTCTGTGATTGTGTGTCTTTCAGATGAGTCATTATTTGACCGTTCCGGCTAATCGGCAGGACTCACCCCCGATGAGGAGAGCAAAGTTTGAGTCAGGTACTGCAGCCACCTTAATTTTTTATATGCTTGTTTGTTTATTTGTGGGTGTTTCTAGGGGGCAGTGTTTGCCCTCACTAACTGAAATTCTGGGGCAGTTTATACACAAATGAATAAAATATACAAAATTACAGTTTCACCTAATCGGGATAATCCAGTCTGGATTTGGTCAGTAAGTCATCAGGCCATTCAGCTTCTACAGTTAGACACCAGATGGACGATATGCAAACCGAGGTGTTGACCGTGTTTATTACTGAGACAATGCCATTCCTTCACCTTGACTTGGTCAGTAACACAGCCTCTGATTGGTCAAAAAGTTAGGAACACAGCCTCTGATTGGTCGACAAGTCAGGTACACAACCTCTGATTGGTCGACAAGTCAGGAACACAGCCTCTGATTGGTTGACAAGCCAGGAATACAGCCTCTTATTGGTCAACAAGTCAGAAACACAGCCTCTGATTGGTCGACAAGTCAGGAACACATGTTCTGATTGGTCAATAAGTCAGGAACACTTTTTCTGATTGGTCGACAAGTCAGGAACACAGCCTTTGATTCATCAGATATGTTCTTTGATGTTGTATAAGACATCATTGACCTGAAATATTTAATGCACAATCACGGTTTATTTGCTGAGACTGTGCACTAAAATATGTTCTCTGTATGTGAAAACTTATTCACACTTAGGAAATAACAACAACATGGAATGTGATAAGGGGTGCCCATACTTTTGCACAGGGCAGTAAGTTGTCTTCCTCTGTGCCAGATAACCAGGTGTACACGTCCAAACCCAGCGCAGTGGTCAGCATACCCGCCATTAGCGTGGAGCCGGTTCCTCCTGCAGACTCAGCGGAGAAGCTGAAAGAGGGTCCACAGCGGACTGTAGAGGGCGCTATGAGGACTGGCAGTGGGAAAGGGCGCAAACTCAGTGTCACGTTCGCTCTGAATGTGGAGGAGCAGAAGCTTCCCTCGCTGTCTGAGTGACCCGGGGCCAAATAAGATCGATGAGGAGGATGAAGAGTGCAGCAGAGGGTGGGAGGAGGTGTGAAACATTCAGACAGTGCACCAACTCTGAGCACGGCTGAGCACTTAACTAAGGTTTTATACCTTTAATGACTTTCTCTTAGAGGGCAATTCCACCAAAACTTCAAAATTTCTGAATAATTCAACTGATATTTTGTTTTTAATTAAAGTTTTAAATTGATTTTTTTTTATGCAGTCACAACCATCCATTCATCCTACGGCAGTTTAGCCCCACCCATTCAGCCTACATTAGTTTAGCCCTGCCCATTCAGCCTAAAAAAGATTATCATCCGGTTTTATCCAACTCAGATCAAGACTCTGAATGAAACAATCAAAGCAACAGAAAAATAACAAACAGAAATGCTCAGAATCTGTGTACGATTTCAGGAACAGTGTGTTAGTTCTGAGTGAAGTGTATTGAGTGACTGATGAGAATAATGACGGCATTATTAAAAATGTAATGTTTGTAATTTGTTCTGAATTAAAACATTTGACTGGATTTTCCTTCATATTTTTATTCTGTATATTTATTCTAATAACACTGTATAGAACAACATTTCAAACCCACACATTTGAAATTCAGATTTAACAAGTAAAACTTTAAAGTTTTAAGTTAAAATTTAAACTGCTAAGTTAAAATTCTGACTGTTACGTGTTTGAAGTGATTTCATACTAATTCATTAAATTTTTAGGTAAACAACAATAAATAGGTAAAAATGAATTCAACTTTGACGTGCAAATTATTTTCACAAATAAAGAATGAAATTCAAATGATTACAGGTTCAAACTAATTTTTTACCAGTGAACGTTGGATTGCGTTTTTAAAAATGTGCAATATAAGAAAATTAATATTTACTGGTTAGAAATTTAGTTTGAACCTGTAATTATTTGAATTGAAAAAATCTTGAATATTTTAATGTAAGAATTTTTTAACAATTTTTTAAAAATATAATAAAAAGTTCAACATTCACTGGTAAAAAAAATGGTTTGAACCTTTAATTTTTTAAATTTAATTTTTCATTTCTGAACATAGTTTACACGTAACAATTTTAATTCATACCAACACAAAGTTTTAATTCTATTACAATTAATTGGGAAGACTAGAGAGAATTCATTTTTTACGTGATAAAATAAACTCCTGCTAGTGAAAATTGAATTTTGACAGACATTTAATTTCTACTAGTTTAAAGAACATTTCTGTTTGTAAAAACTGAACTTTTAAGATTTAATGGGATCAAATTCGGAGGTGTCTTTCCTGACTGTTTCAGCTAAGTGTGAACACCATCACGTATGAAATAACTGTAAATAGCAGTAATAATAACTGTAAATATGTTGATGTTTTGTGGAGGTTTACAGTGAGAGTGCTCTCACTCTTCAGTAAAAGGCTGTTTGAAGGTGAACGGTGGTCTCTGAGGGGTGTTTTCTGCTGTAACACAGCTCCCTCTGTAGTTAATGGTGTCTGTTTCCCTCTGTGGCTGTTTTTCTGCTGTTTCGTGGTAGCTCCCCGTGAGTACAGTGACGCTTTCAGAGTTGATGATGGTTGTCTAGTAACAGGTGAACCCAGGAAACATCAGCATCCCCACAGGACTCAATTAAATCTCCCACTAACGAGCTTAACGACACAGTGACCAGCAGTTCGTCTCAAAACCTCAGACCTCCGTCAGTCTGCTCTCAGTCTGAGACCCTGAAACGGCCAGCAGGACGCTGCCTCAGCTCTGAGCGCCATGGCGGTGGACTTCAGTGGGAAATGGGAGATGTACGAGCAGAGTGATCCAGAGGAGTTCCTCAAGGCCATGGGTGAGTTCCTCTGGGTTCCTCCAACATCTCTGCATTCAGAACCTTCCTTTCCACAGTGCTGGTGTTCAGTTAGAGACTGTAACTCATCAGCTAATGAACAGTCTTAGGGAAATACAAGGTGGGTGTTTCTAATAAAGTGGACAGTTAGTGGAAACACAAGATGAATGTTTCTGATAAAGTGGCCAGTTAATGGAAGCACAGGGTGGGTGTTTCTAATAAAGTGGCCAGTTAGTGGAAGCACAGTGTGGGTGTTTCTAATAAAGTGGCCAGTTAGTGGAAGTACAAGGTGAGTGTTTCTAATAAAGTAGATAATTAGTGGAAATACAAGGTGGGTGTTTCTGATAAAGTGGCCAGTTAGTGGAAACACAAGGGAGGTGTTTTTGATAGTGTCATATTCTTCTTCTTCTTCTTCTTCTTATTATTATTATTATTATTAATAATATTAATATTATTAACATTAATATTGAATGTGTTTATCCAGCTGTTCCTGATGCGATAGCGAAGAGGATGAGGGAGGTGAAGCCTGTAACCATCATAAAGCAGGATGGGGAGCACTTTGAGATTTCAATCAAAACTCCACTCCGCACCAACACCAACTCCTTCACCATCGGCCAGGAGACCGAGTTCTGCACCATGAACGGGATGAAGTGCAAGGTGAGTGACCAGCACTCGTTCCCCCAAACAGCTCAGTCTTATTGAGCACTACTGTGTTTCACAGTGACTTACTCCCCATCTCTCTCTCCGTAAACAGACCACGGCTCAGCTGGTGGATGGGAAGATCGTCATAGAGACGGAGACACTCTCTCATGTGCGGGAGATCCAGGGGGAGGACATGGTGGAGGTGAGGAGACCTGAACACGGTTCAGAGAAGCGGGGAATTCCCCCCGTTCACTCCCTCACTCCAAATGTAGACCATCAGCTGAGACACGCTTCCTTCTTTTAGCTTTGCACTGGAGCTACGAGGCTAATGTAGCTAACTGCATCTCTGATTAGCCTGGTGCTAACTGCTAGTCAAAATCATCTCAGAGCATGTGGAGCTGTTCAGGATCTCTCATAGACCTGATTCTGTGGCTTCTGACTCTGTGTGACCCACTGTTAACTATAAACCTGAACTGAAGCACATTAGCAGAGTTAAGGCCAATAGCAGTAATGCTATAAACAGTGGAAGCAATACCAACCAATAAGCCCTCAGTATCAGTAACGCTAACCAATCAGCGCTCAGTATCAGTAACGCTAACCAATCAGCCCTCAGTAGCAGTAACGCTAACCAATCAGCGCTCAGTAGCAGTAACGCAAACCAATCAGCTCTCAGTAGCAGTAACGCTAACCAATCAGCGCTCAGTAGCAGTAACGCAAACCAATCAGCTCTCAGTAGCAGTAACGCAAACCAATCAGCTCTCAGTAGCAGTAACGCTAACCAATCAGCACTCAGTATCAGTAATGCTAACCAATCCGTGCTCAGTAGCAGTAATGTTAACCAATCAGCTCTCAGTAGCAGTAACGCTAACCAATCAGCGCTCAGTAGCAGTAATGTTAACCAATCAGCTCTCAGTAGCAGTAACGCTAATCAATCAGCGCTCAGTAGCAGTAACACTAACCAATCAGCTCTCAGTAGCAGTAATGCTAACCAATCAGCTCTCAGTAGCAGTAATACTAACCAATCAGCGCTCAGTAGCAGTAATGCTAACCAATCAGCGCTCAGTAGCAGTAACACTAACCAATCAGCTCTCAGTAGTAGTAATGCTAACCAATCAGCTCTCAGTAGCAGTAATACTAACCAATCAGCGCTCAGTAGCAGTAATACTAACCAATCAGCGCTCAGTAGCAGTAATGCTAACCAATCAGCTCTCAGTAGCAGTAATGCTAACCAATCAGCACTCAATAGCAGTAACGCTAACCAGTCAGCACTCAGTAGCAGTAACACTAACCAATCAGCACTCAATAGCAGTAACGCTAACCAGTCAGCACTCAGTAGCAGTAATGCTAACCTATCAGCTCTCAGTAGCAGTAATGCTAACCAGTCAGCGCTCAGTAGCAGTAATGCTAACCAATCAGCTCTCAGTAGCTGTAATGCTAACCAGTCAGCTCACAGTAGCAGTAATGTTAACCAATCAGCTCTCAGTAGCAGTAAAGCTAACCAATCAGCTCGCAGTAGCAGTAACGCTAACCAATCAGCACTCAGTAGCAGTAACGCTAACCAATCAGCACTCAGTAGCAGTAACACTAACCAATCAGCACTCAGTAGCAGTAACGCTAACCAATCAGCGCTCAGTAGCAGTAACGCTAAACAATCAGGTCTCAGTAGCAGTAACGCTAACCAATCAGCACTCAGTAGCAGTAACACTAACCAATTAGCACTCAGTAGCAGTAACGCTAACCAATCAGCACTCAGTAGCAGTAACACTAACCAATTAGCACTCAGTAGCAGTAACACTAACCAATCAGCACTCAGTAGCAGTAATGCTAAACAATCAGGTCTCAGTAGCAAAAATCGCTAACCAATCAGCACTCAGTAGCAGTAATGCTAAACAATCAGCTCTGAGTAGCAGTAAAGCTAACCAATCAGCTCGCAGTAACAGTAACACTAACCAATCAGCGCTCAGTAGCAGTAATGCTAACCAATCAGCTCTCAGTAGCAGTAATGTTAACCAGTCAGCTCTCAGTAGCAGTAATGTTAACCAATCAGCACTTAGTAGCAGTAATGCTAACCAATCAGCTCTCAGTAGCAGTAATGCTAACCAATCAGCGCTCAGTAGCAGTAACGCTAACCAATCAGCGCTCAGTAGCAGTAACGCTAACCAATCAGCTCGCAGTAGCAGTAATGTTAACCAGTCAGCTCTCAGTAGCAGTAATGTTAACCAATCAGCTCTCAGTAGCAGTAATGTTAACCAATCAGCACTTAGTAGCAGTAATGCTAACCAATCAGCTCTCAGTAGCAGTAATGCTAACCAATCAGCGCTCAGTAGCAGTAATGCTAACCAATCAGCGCTCAGTAGCAGTAACGCTAACCAATCAGCGCTCAGTATCAGTAACGCTAGCCTCTCTCTCTCTCTCTCTCTCTCTCTCCCTCTCTCTCTCCTGATGTCTCCGGACCTTTGACCTGCAGACCCTCACAGCTGGCTCTGCGACCCTCGTCAGGAGAAGCAGGAGAGTCTGACGCCACAGCTGGATTTAAATCTACCTCTTCGTCTCAGTTTCACTGTTAGATGTGAATAAATCTGTGAATAAATTCAGAGAAATATGTGAATCTTTTATTAAACTGTCCAGTCGTTCCCTGATCGTTCATTTATTATATATCTATACTATTTAATGGCATCAGTGATCCCCATTAAAGATTATAAAGAGGAAAATAATTAAAATGACACCAGTAACTGAAATGTGGTAATTATACAAATACGCATACATTACTTACTTTCCATAGCTTTTATTCTCACGCTACAAAGCCAGCCTGTATAACATTGCCACCCCAACTTCTAAATAAACAGATGGAAATCATTCATTCATTCATTCATTCATTCATGTTTCATTTATCAGTAATATAGATTATAAGTTATATTTATTGTAACATTTTCTTCGTGGATATGATTTTTGGATATGCTTTTTTTTTACTATTTCCTAAAGAGTGACTAAATAAAAATGGTATTTAGAGTCTTTTATTTTGAAATACATATATAAATGAATGTTTAGAATGTCCATCCAACCAGCTAAATACATGGATGGAACTCATTCATTCGTTCATTCATTTAAAAGTAATTTAAATTAATTATTATAGTTATTATATCATTTTCCTCGTGTATGTGATTCCCTATTTTAGCGAACCTGTTTTCTAAATAATGACTGGAACAAAACTCGTTTTTCAGAGTCTTTTATTTTGAAACGGCTGCAGTTGCACTCCAGTCCTCGGGGGGAGCCCGTGTCCGTATGAATGAGCCCGCTGTATGGCTGCAGCGCGTTAGCAGTGTTAGCATCGTGGCGGATTAATCAGAGTTTTATTAATATTTGCGGAGATTTATGGATCAATAATCGATCATGGCGAAATACATGAGACCCCAGAACAGCTCTCTGTTCGTCAGGAACATCTCAGACGACTTCCGGTAAGAAAGAGAGACAGAAAACACTCATTACACACTGTTAGCTTAGCATAGTCGCCTTTATTTACACTGAGTCTGTGACTTACAGAGGCTTTTAGAGTCAGAGACTCACGTTCACCCAGTAAACACCTTAATTCATTAAAATAAACAGTATTTACACTGAGTCTGTGACTTACAGAGGCTTTTAGAGTCAGAGACTCACGTTCACCCAGTAAACACCTTAATTCATAAAATAAACAGTATTTACACTGAATCTGTAACTTATAGAGGCTCATAGAGTCAGAGACTCACATGCACCCAGTAAACACCTTAATTAATTAAAATAAACAGTATTTATGCTGAATCTGTAACTTATAGAGGCTTAAAGAGTCAGAGACTCACATTCACCCAGTAAACACCTTAATGAATTAAAATAAACAGTATTTACGCTAAGTCTGTGACTTGTAGAGGCTCATAGAGTCAAACTCTTTCACTCCATAAATATTCAGTAATATGCAGTCCAATGAGGTTTGTCTATATCACAGGTGTAAACATCTTTGGCAGTAACTAAAACATAATTAAACTATGTTAATCAAATTACTTTAGCAGCTACTTCTACTGTACATGCGCTGTTCATACTAACCACCCAAAAGAAGTTGCACCATGCATATTAAATTTACCTTGACCTGCATTAAACTAAAAACAGTACAAAAACATGATTATTTGATGTTTCTGTCTTATTGACTTCACTGATACTTTTTGTAGTATCGCTGCTGTCCAAATGAAAACGAGCATCTCCAAAATGGTAACTCTACAGAAAAGGGCACAATCGTTCTTTACTTTCAGTATAAGTTTATGTAAAGAGATTTTATACCAAGCTATTTTGGAGTATTTCTGTTGGTCCAATTATAATGTGTTTATGCAGTGTAAATGGTAGCTGCTGTGCTCAAATGATGTAGAAAAAAATGGAAATACTTCTTTTCTTCGCTCAATAAAAAGCTGAGACGGGAGCATGTTTATCCCATTGTTACGTCACCTTTCCTTTTAAGAGCACTTTTTAATCATTTGGAAACTGAAGACCCAAACTGATCCAGTTTTGAAAGAAGAATTTTTTGCCATTTGGGGCCTTCATTGTCATATATTGTGCATTTTTACGCTTTCAGCAGGAGACAGGCAGGTCAGTCTAGCACCTGCACTCTCTGGTTACATATCCCTGCTGCTGTAACACATTCAGAACGTTTCTTGGTTTGTCATGTTGAAAGAATCATGGACGTCCCTGAAAAAGACATTGTCTAAAAGGCAGCATATGTTGCTCCAAAATGTGTGCAGTGTTAATGTTGCTTTCACAGATGTGCAGGTTACCCACTAATACCCCCCCAACACCATGACAGACACTTGATTTAGAACTTTATGCTGGTAACAATCTGGATGGGTCTTTCTTTCTGAGGTCCGGAGATCTGAAAGGTTGACCACAATGCACATTTCCACTGAGCATCAGTTCATTTCAGATGAGCTCAAGCCCAGAGAAGTCGGCGGCGTTTCCGATGTTGTCGATATGTTACTTACACTGTGCAGAGCTTAGTCTTAACCTGCGTTTGTGGATGCAGCAACAGACGGACGATCTTTGAGTGTCTTATTTAATTTGTTATTGTGTTATTTCTTTGTAGGCCAGAAGACCTGCGGAGAGAGTTTGGTCGATATGGTCCCATTACAGATGTTTACATTCCTCTGGATTTCTACTCACGCCGACCCAGAGGATTCGCATACGTTCAATATCCTTTCCTTTACAGACTGTTTTGTGTTACGCATTTCCGGGAGTATGGTATATACATGTCCTGTTTAAATTTTTGTTGTTTTTATTAGAAAAAAACTCATTTAACCAAGAAAGAAATATGCAGAAAGTAATATGTTGGCATGCCAGTGTGTCATTTCTACTTTTTGACTCATAACTAACCTTGCAAGACCATAAGTACGGTACTGTGTAAAAGTCAGAGACCACTACTCTTTTATAGACAAATGAAATTGACTTCTTCACTGACTTTGTGTGCTGTTACTGTGTGTTGTTTGTCTGCTGTGTGCCGAAGCATTGTGGGTATTGTAGTGTTCTCCTGAATCGTTCAGTTTCCTTAACTGTGCGGCATGTTTGAGGACGTGCGGGACGCGGAGGATGCCATGCACAACCTGGACAGGAAGGTGGTCTGCGGTCGGCAGATCGAGATCCAGTTCGCACAGGGAGACCGAAAGAGTGAGGGACTTTACTTTTTCTGTTTGTTTGGAGGATTAATTTGAGATGGTCAGTGTGTTGAGTTCTTCATTTACCCTGCCCATCGAAGGTTTGGGGACATTTAGCTTTTCAGAATGACTATAATAACTAACCATATTAATTTGGGCTGAGCAGCATAACATCGTTTGTGGTTATTATGATAAATTACATTACAATATGTTTTTTTAAGCACATAGTGGACACTGTCAGTACATACAGACTTCCCAGCTGCATGTCTGATTAAAATAGAGCATGATTAGCCATGTTTTCGTAGACTTGTGACTAGTGCAGCACAGACTTAGACTAGTGCAGCACAGTGCGTTAAGTGTTGAATACAAATACTTGGATTTGTAGTTTTTGGGATTTAATACATGCAGGTGACGTGCAGGAACGACAGATTCAGAACTTTAAACAACAGTTTGGAGAAGAAAACTGTCAAAACATTATTTAAAACCTGCTCTTTACACCAAAAAAAGAAACTGTGAAAATGAGATATTTATTATTAGAGGTGTTTGTTGATTCTGTATGCGAGTTGTTGAAGCCCCTGTCCGTCTGTCTTTCAGCTCCAGGTCAGATGAAGGCTAAAGAGCGTCGCTCCCCCTGCAGTTACTCCGACGGCCGCCGGAGACGCTCCCGCAGCCGGAGTTACGACAGGCGCAGTTCCCGCAGTCCGCCCAGCAGGGGGCGCTACAGGAAGTCCCGCAGCCCCAGAGAGTGAGTATCTTATCTTGAGAGTGAGTCATCAGTTATCTTGAATTTGTTGCCGCTGTAGCTCCAGCTGGAAGACGTAGAAAGCAGAAGAATCAGTTGTTGCTGCTGGTGCTGCTGACTCATTTTTTGTTGTGAGAAGTTTGAGAGCCCAAATTTTGACAATGGAGGATCAGACTTATTATTCAGCAGAAGAGAAAGGGAGAGAAGGGAGAATCCTCACCGTCAAAGAAGAGAAAACATGAAGCGAAACGAACTCAGGACAGACGACGAAAACCTGAAGACCACCGTAGGTTCTCCTACACGCTTGGAAAGGGAGGGGTGAGGGAGGGGATTCGGCTGGGTGCTGTCTGCAACCTCACCACTAGATGGTGCTGAATCTTACACACTGCAGTTTTAAGGTTTTTCAGTAAAGGCAATGGCTCTATTTCAATCCATGAGTTCTACACAGGACCATTGCATGGTTAAATGGTTCTCTGCATGCAGAAATGGTTCTTTGGACCATATTTAAAAAAAAAAGATTTTATATAGATACATAGACAAAGTTTTCTCTGTACGGTCTAAATCTGGACTCTGTCAGCCAAAACCAGCAGTAAAACCCATTATATTTTGGTCTTGGCCCATTTTTCTGCCCAGGAGTGTATACTGTTTGTGTTTCCACTGAGGTACAGTTAGTTATAGATGACCCCTCTGAGAGATCCACAGCCTGAAAATCAGCGGGTTGTGCTTAATGTTGATTGTTCTGAGTTTGTGTCTTGTTGCAGGTCCAGAGGCAGACATTACAGCAGACGCAGCAGGAGCAGAGAGTATGAGCGGTGAGTAGGAAACGCACCACTCTCCAGATTTAATACTCCACTGTTCCAGCCCCGCCCCCTGAACCAGCATAACCACTACCACACTCTGAATCCAGGTGAAATCAAACACAAACACAAAGAGGAGTTTGTGTTTCCATGTATTTGAATAGCCGTGTCTTTGTGTGTTCCTGCAGACGCAGATCATCTCGTGATCATCATCGATCTCGCCCAGACAGTCGCAGCCGCTCCGCCTCTCCTTCTGAGCCCCGCCCCAAACGGACTGAACGCCGGGGATCCGGAGACCACCGCTCGCCCTCCGAGAGTCCGAGAGAGCAGACCGATCCTGCGGACGGCCAGACCGGCGTCCAGGACTTAGAACCTCAGGAGACACAGCTTCCGTCTCTCACTCACTCTCGCTCGGCTTCTCGCTCCGCCTCCCGGTCCAGATCGCGCTCGCGGTCCAGGTCCTGGGCTCGACGACAGTCTTGAGGAACTCTGGGTCGCCTGAAGAAGCAGGAGCAGCTCTTTAAAGCGAAAGTTTCACAAAAAATCTACTTCTGCCAAATGTAGTCGGACAAGACATTCTGGGTGTCTGAAGTTTGCTTCTTTAGTTTAGAGCTAACGTAGCCAGCAAGTAATGCAAGCTTATTCCCCACCAGTAAATATTTAGCCGCCAGAAAACAGCAGCAACCACACAGGCTGATGTTGCTAACAAGCCATTTGCCACCAGTTAGCAAGGTGTTGTTTTCATAATGCTAACTGGTTGTTGTTTTATGGCAACATTTGGCGTGTGAAGTTTGTGTTATTAGGTTTAGAACTGGAGCTACGAGGCTAATGTAGCTAACATGGAGGCTAGTATGTTTTTAGCCTTTAGCAGCCTACATCTTCACACAATTGCACCAAACAGTGGCAGGTTGTCGTCTCGCCTTCCTGTCCTGTGCATTGCAGTGTTTTCCTGCTAAAGTAACAGCTCAACCACACGGGCTAATATTGGTAACAAACCAGTCGCCACCAGTGTCATTTTGTCATCAGTGTAGCATGGTGTCGTTTTCATAATGCTAACTAATGGCTAATTTATAGCAACTTTAACATTTGGTGTCTGAAGTTTGCTTCTTAAGCTTTAGCACCAAATCTCTGAGGTTAATCTAGCTAACAAGTAATGGAAGCTTAAACTGTGTCAAGTCAGCAAAGTTCTGACTTCAGGCTGTTTAGCTTTGCTAACGTACTTTAGTCCATGTTTATAGGTAACAGTGAGTCATACAGAGTCAGAAACCACACAGTCAGGTCTGTTAGAGACACTGAGCACCTCCACACACTCTGCGGAGATTCAGGCATGCTAATAGGTGGAGTATACGCTGCCATTACTTGTTAGCTACATTTAGCCTTGTAGGTAGGGATTTACAGGATTTAGCCCAGATCTTAGAGCGGTACCACTTTAGAGTAAGACTTCCCTTATAGAGGATTTGTGAATGGTTTTAAAGTAGTTTTTTAATGGTTATTAATTAGGTCTTGAACACCTTAATAAGTAAAAATAAACAGTTATAACAGTCTAATAAAAAGGGCAAAAGTTTGCCCCGATGACTGATGAAAAAGACAAAGTTAGATTAATAACCAGCAACATCTGAGCTTTCACAGCATAGATGAATGTGTGTTCATTATTAGGCAGACAGCAGCTCTCTTTTTCCGTTTTTATTTACGTGGCTTATTAATGATTTTTAAAGGTATGTATGTCCTAATTAATAACCATTAATATACGTATTTTAAACCATTCGTGAGCCCTTTATAAGGGTAGTCTTATTCTAAAGCTGTACCCTGATAGTATCGGCTGATACTGAGTACCAATACCTATAATAACTCTAAAGTATCTGCCAATAACAATAACTCTGACATAACTGGTTTATAAATGCTGATATTTGCACAACTCCACTTTCAATTTCAATTTTTAAATGTGGTGTTTTGGTGGTGTCTCCCACATAAAACATGCTAATCTTGAATTAATGGTTTACAGGTAAGATAACTTCATATTTGAGAGGTTTCAGAGCTGTGAAAAGTCTCTGAGCTCTTTAGCTCGTATTATATTTCAATACTTGTGACTTCAGTACTGTGGCTGATTTTTCCTCCTCTCTGCAGTTCCGCTGTTATTGATCTTACAGTCAGGATTTTCACTTTTGCTCGTCTCAAATGTGAAATAATCAGATGTCTTTACAGTGGTGGTGATAGGAACCAGGGGTCGCCATGACAACAACACAAATATAGACATTTTATTTACTATCCAGAACCACCAGTGAACCTACACAAGTCTTCTGAGTTTATATGGAATGTTGATGATGGAAAATAGTGGAAAATCTGAAATAATAAGTTTTCTTTGGGGACTATTTTGCCTCACAGTGCCCTGCATGTATCCCTCCACCATGAATGGAGTTTAAGTTCTCTAAACTATCATAAAACAGTGTCTCAGTCATCAGGCAGTGAATTCATAACCATTTCATGTAGGAACTTTCTGTGAGGGAGCTTTTAGAGGGGGGCGTCTGGTTCCTATCACCACCACTGTGAACAGTTCTGACTCTGTGAGTTTTCTGGAACATCACACCAAATGACTTTGTCACTTTCGCCAATTCTCATCGCTCCAGTGTTAAAACCAAAGAAGCAAACCTCAGACACCGAACATGTCTTAGCAGATCAGAGCATTTGAGCCGAGTGGAGGGAGGTTGGGGGGGATCTAGCTGAACTATCGCTTTAAAACTGGCCTAATGTGATCTTGGCGGTTGGTGGGGGCTCCTCCTGCTCTGCTGCAGCGCAATAACGACGAGCTGGAGGACTCAGCCAGTTACATATGATCTCGTTTGAGGAAGTTAGTTTTTGTTTTTTTTGTTTTTGTGTTTGTTTTATGATTTTATAGGACGATTAAAGAAAAGCGGTTCAACGTTTCACTGTTGCTGACGGTGAGAAAAGCATCCATGCTGGTGTGAAAGTGTGGAAAGGAAAGGTGCTTCTGTGTGATTCAGCATTTCTGGAGTTTGTTTACTTTCTATTCATGTGGAGCTGCAGTTCAAATGTGCATGAAGTAACATTTTTATAATGAAATGTGCGATTAGAGTCCTGAATTAAACGAGCAAAGGAAAGTGGCTGGTGTTTACTGGTTTATACTAGTGTTGACTGGTTATTGCTGGTATTTACTGGTGTTGTTACAGACAGCACAGAGAGCTGAACCAGCCTGAACATCCGTATGTGAGGTTTCTGCGAGTTTGCGATCATGATGGAAGCAGAACTGGCCCGTTAGAACCTTTGCGGAGTTCAGAACCAGCAGCTTCTTTTTTATTTTTGTATCTTGACCGTGTTTGTCCAGTACTGAGGTTCCACTTTCTTACTGTACCATTTGTGATTCCGTTGTACAGCTTCGAGCTCAGATGTTTGTCTGTGAATGAGAGTTTTTACGCTCAGTAGAGAAATAAAAGGAAGTGTTTTCAACTTAAACCCTGAGTGACGAGTGGATTCTGTAACACCAGAACATCTTTAAACACCTCAGTGTCACTGCTGGACTGAGAATAGTCCACCAACCAAAAATATCCAGCCAACAGCGTCCTGTGGGCAGCGTCCTGTGACCACTGATGAAGGACTAGAGGATGACCAACACAAACTGTGCAGCAGCAGATGAGCTATCGCCTCTGACTTTACATCTACAAGGTGGACTGACAAGGTAGGAGTGCGTGTGTATGTGTATATCGCTGCTGTCGGATCAAAACCTCCATTTTTGATGTTTTTCAGTTTTTGACATAATTTGAAAATGACTACTGTTGACTGTTTCTTTTGGTCCATTCATGAAATTTACATACAATGTAAAGAGCAACAGTCAGTGTCAAATTGTCGAAAACTGAAAAACGTTTCTTCTGACAACTTTTATATATATATATAATATATATATATATATATATATATATATATATATATATATATATATATATATATATATATATATATAAATATATATATATAAAATATATATATATATATATATATATATAAATAAATAAAAGTTGTATATATGTATGTGTGTGTATATATACACACGCGATGAATGGACCAAATGGGCAAAAATGACTTGGAAAAGTCTGGTTCCATTGACTTTGAGTAAAGTAGGTTTTTTCGTTCTCCTGTAAAGTTACCATTTTGGAGATACAAGGTTTTGTTCTATAGTTAATGATAAACACTTGCTTTATCTAATCAATACTTCATTGTGTTAGATCAGGTGTGCTGATGAAGTTTAACACGTGATGCTGGGTGGGAAATCTGCATCCAAATTTTGGGCCTCACTCACCAACCGTTCTTAAGAAAACATTTCTTCTTAAATCCACGTTTAAACTCTGACTCACCAGTGTTCTCTTCTGTGGGATTTGTTCTTGGGTCAGAACAGAATCTACACACACTCAAGATCACAAAGGTGAGAACAGGTCTGTGCAGTGTGTGAGTGGCAGTCAGCTGACAGAGACAGTGATACGACGTACTGTGCTGTACGTGTTTGTGTTTACGTTTATGGTCAGAACAGACTGAGTCTGTGATCAAGGTCTTAAAGAACATGTTTATCTGAGAGCTTTTACAGCACCAGTAGCTCTGGACACACAAAGGGTTTAATAAACTCTTACTGAGTGCAGATGTGTGTAAGGAATCCACAGCGTTTGGGAACTGAGGAGACACTGCTGTAGTTTAGAAAGTGAAATGTTTTCTGTTCTTGTTTGATACAGGATTTCAGCTGATCATCAGTTCAGGGTCCCCTTTGCTGTATTTTTTCATTTTATAATGTGCCAAATGTTTTCAGTGGTGATAGAGCTGGACTGGAGACAGGTCAGTTTCGCACTTGGACACTCTTAATATGGAGCAATGCTGCTGTAATACATGCAGAATGTGGTTTTACATCGTCTTGCTGAAATAATCAAGGCCTTCCCTGAAAAAGACGTCGTCTGGTTGGCAGCATATTTTGCCAAAACATGTATATACCATTCAGCATTAATGGTGCCTTCACAGATGTGCACGTCACCCATACCATGTGCACTAATGCCCCCTATACCATCATGAATACTGGCTTTTGAACTGTGCACTGATAACAAGCTGAGTGGTCTTTAGCCTGGAGGACACAGTGTCCATGATTTCAAAAAAAAAAGATTTCAAATGTTGATTTGTTGGACGTCAGGACACTTTTCCACTTCACCTCAGTCCATTTTAAATGAGCTCGGGCCCAGAGAAGGTGGCAGCGTTTCTGGATCCTGTTTATATTTGGTCTCTTCTTTGTGTCTTGATATTATGTACCGTAGATGATGAAAAGCAAAAGTTCTTTGGTATTTTATGCTGAGAAACGTTCTTTTTGAATTGCTGCACTATTTGATGGTGCAGTCTTTCACAGAGTGGTGAACCCCTCCTCATCTTTACTTCTGAAAGACTCCGCCTCTCTGAGATGCTCTTTTATACCCAATCATGTTACTGACCTGTTGATAATTAACCACCAGGTGTTTTTTTAGTATTACACAACTTTACCAGCCTTTTGTTGCCCCCGTCCCAATTGTTTTGTAATTGTTGTTGGCATCAAATTCAAAATGGGCAAATATTTTTCAAACCACAATAAAATGTGCAGGAGAAACAAAAATATACTTTACTTTTAATGTAAGTCAGTGAAACCAGAACCATGAAAGTCATTTTGAGTCGTTTCTTTAGTCCATTAGTCATGAAATCTACACAAGTTTTAAAGGACAGTAGACATTTTCAAATTATGTCAAAAACTGCGATATTTAGATTAAAAAAGTGATTTTTTTTTTTACTTGTTTTACTCTCCCTCTTTGTGCCGTCTTTGCCCCTGATTTATTGTTCCTTTGATGTGTGTATTTCTTAAACTCCACAGTAAACTGATGAGCCACTTTGGTGGCTGTGAGTGCAGTTTACCCTGTAATTCACTGCTGAGTGCAATTCTATGAGAGCTGCAGGACGACTGCATGAAACTCTGTAGATCTGATATGAAACTTACGAACTTTGTTCTTTTTTGTTGTGATTTAAAATAATTGACTGAGTATAGTAACCCAGTTTTGTTGAAATACTTGACATAATATGCATCGTATAGGGCTCAAATTGTTCTACTGAATTATATGAATATTTTTTATCTGTGTGATGCTTTTGATCAAATTTTTTTTGGTCATTTTGAGGCGGTTTTGTTAGAATGACCCTTTTGTTCCCATGTTTATATTTTTTTTAATTTCAGATGATGACCACAGATGAGAAAGAACATGTACTAGTCCAGATGCTGTGTAGACCCTCTTTAAATGTACATGGTTAAATAGTTACACAACAATTAAATGTGTTACCAACACAATTCATGTCAAAATTAGCACATTTACAATAAAGCAACTGTGCTGATGTTATATATTTTGTTTGTGTGCAAATACTGGTTTAAATCACTGACCAATAATTGATAATTCTGGCTCCATCAGCATCCACAGAAACAATGGTTTATGATTAACATGTGTAATCATGAACCATTTTGTCAGTGGAAGCTGATGGAGCCAGAATTATCAAATATGAATCACTGGTTTAAAGCTGATAACTAAACACTCAACATAAAAAGTTCAAACATGCTTTACAGCCCTAAAATTAAAATGTCATTGATACTCTTCCTCCAATCTGTGTGTCTATTCACATATTCACTCAGGTCCACTGTACTGAATTGCATTTATATTTTGAAATAAAACAATACATTATTTTAACAATTACACCTTGAATCATCAATTTAGCAATATTGGGTTTTAAATCAATTATCTAGAATTCCAAGCACCACAGAAGAGCTCAGCCTCAGTCATGTGTAAAGACTGAGGCCGTATTTTGAGGTGAGTCCACTGAGTCTTTCAGTTATCAGAGATTTTCTCATTTAGCTCATGATTTCATATGAAGCTTTTAGCTGAAGTCACTGGCGTGACCGACTTTATTCTGAGGTCACTGTGAAAAAACAGAATACAAATAAATTAAATTCCATATTTTAGTGGATATTCCATGATTGACAGCATGTGGTCTGATGCTCTGTAGCAGGCGTTTTGTAAAACGCATTGTTCATTAAAATGTCTCTGGTGTTCCTTTATTATGTGGAACACCAATGAGGATCAGTAACACCAGTGACCCCTATGGAGAGATAGAAGAGTGGACGTATCTGTAGAATGATCCATTTAACAGAACACCAACCCCGTTGGAGCTCAGAGCCTCCTGTCTGGAGCTGCTCCAGCCTGCAGGAGCGCCTGTCTGGGGTTACCTTGACAACCACCTCATCAGGAGTGCACTGTACAAAGTGTCTCGTCAGATCTGCCTAAAAACTTAATGGATAACAAGTAAATTAACCAGTTCTATTCAACCTAAATAAGTACTTTGATTTAAAAATCGTTCATACAGTGTATTTTAGGTTGAATTAACCTGGCTGGATTGCTTGTTTCTACATTGTCATTTCCAGGTAGATCTGACTTTTTACAGTGTAAATAAGATCATTAAACTAAATCTGCACTCGAGGTAATTCTGGAGGCAGAATGACGCGAGAAGCGCTAGACTGTTAATGATCTGCGCCTGTCCGGTCGGACCGGTTAGGGCGGGTAGTCACAACACCTGTGAACTAGAATCGAAAGTAAGAGCGAACACTTCAACGGCGTCTCCGGATCTCTGAGGAGTCCGGGAGCAGAATGAGCCTGGAATAGACCATAAAATGAGTTCGGGGGTCTGATAGCGGAGATCTGAGAGCGGAGCAGACTCAGTCCGTCTCCTGATGGGTAACTAAAGATCTGAGAGCGGAGCAGACTCAGTCCGTCTCCTGATGGGTGAGTAAAGATCTGAGATCCCACCGTTCAGTTTCCAGTGTGGAATAAAATCAGCAGAGTCTCGTTGGAGCTGCGTCGCCTCGATTGTTCAGTGTTACACTGTAAAAAGTGGCTCATCAGATCAACCTAAAAATGAACCAGTTTTATTTCACTCGGAAAATTAAATTGATTGAAAGAATCGATCATTCAAAGTATTTATTTAGGTTGAATAAAACTGGTCAGTTTATTTGTTTCTACATTAAGTATTTTTTTAGGTTGATCTGAGAGCTATTTTTACAGTGTGAGGGGCTCAGGATGGTGGTCTTAACTCTTCTTCACGTCTTGACGCTGCGATAAATCAGCCGTGTTTAATGTATGAATGTATGAATCTTTACATTAATGTAAACAGTAACTGCACATTTTACAGGTATATTAAAGAAATTGTGTTTGATGATCTGCCAGAATATTCAGTTCTACAGTGAACCACTCTGAGCCTCAGATCTTCACACACCCAGCCAGCTTATCTCCAAATCTGCCCCACTGCAGAGCGGAGCAGGAAAAGGGTTTCTCTGCTTGTAAATCTCCACCAGGTGCATGATGGGAAATTGTTCAGTAAAATGGACATGAAGTGTTGAGGCTAACAAGGTGGATTGATTTGTGTTAAAAGGACAAAATGGCTCTTCTTAACATTTGGGTTGTGACCCCTGACCTAGAGGTACCTGATGAAACAGTCAGTTAGTGTAACAGGCAGGACATTCACAACACATTCAAATGTTCAAACAAGATCAATCACTTTTACAGGAGCAGCTCTCAGATCTCTGATACAGATTAATGTTTAAATATGATGTAAGGGATTCAGTTCAGTTCTGTCAGCTGTAACTCTGTAAATGGAGGCTGGTGTTCTGTTACAGCCTCTGAGAGAGTGACTAAAATAAGTGTGACTCAAAGTGACTTTTACACACAAACCAGCCGTCAGAGACACTTATAATGAAAAATCAGAGACACAATGAAGAACCAGTAAACTTCAAGGTGACTGTTGAAAAATGTCTGTCAGATAATAATCAGAATGATGCTGTGAGGAAAAAACACATTGTACTCAAACCTGCTTAACCACATTTTACTCCACCTTAGATTGTGCCCTGCCCCCTACTAAACCTGACAACTGTGTACAAATGAACATGACTGTAGGATTGTAGTGTTGGCACAGTAGCAGACCCAAGTCTGCCATTTTCTCTTAAAGGAACTCTTTACTGAAACAGATGGGAACCACAGGGAAAGAGGGGGAAGGACACCAACAAACAAACACAACAAAAGGGAGGGGCATAACTCCAAATGAGTGGGACATAGCTTCAAATGGGAGGGGCAAAACTCCAAGCAGGTGGGACATAGCTTCAGATGGGAGGGGTGTAACTCCAAATGGGAACATGAGGTGTTGTGACTCCTTAAGTGGGTTGATTTTTGTTGAAAGGACAAAATGGCTCTTCTTAACATTTGGGTTGTGACCCCTGACCTAGAGGTACCTGATGAAACAGACAGTTAGTGTAACAGGCAGGACATTCACAACACATTCAAATGTTCAAACAAGATCAATCACTTTTACAGGAGCAGCTCTCAGATCTCTGATACAGATTAATGTTTAAATATGGTGTCAAGTCAAGAGGCTTTTATTGTCATTCCATCTGTGTACACAGTGGAGCGAAATGGTGGAGCGTGAGGTAGGGTAGTGGAATAAGGTGCAGAGATATTTAACATGCTGTGATCTGTGAGTTACGCAGTCAGATTATAACATACGTGAGCACAACAGTTACTGAGGTAGGATATACAGTACTTGAGTAGAACACAGTGTTAGCAGCAATGTTCCAGATAGTGCAAGTGTGGAGTACGTGTGTGAGGGAGGTTTTCAGTCCAAAAGCTGTTGCAGAGTCTGGCAGTGATGGCACGGATGCTCCGGTACCTTCTGCCAGACGGCAGCAGTGAAAAAAGTCTGTGTGAGGGATGGATGGGGTCGTTCACGATGCTGTTGGCTTTCCGGATGCAGCGTGTGGTGTAGATGTCCATGATGGAGGGGAGAGAGACCCCGATGATCCTCTCAGCTGTCCTCACTATGCGCTGTAGGGTCTTGCGGTCGGAGGCGGTGCAATTCCCAAACCATGATGCAGTTGCTCAGCATGCTCTCCACAGTCCCCCTGTAGAACATGGTGAGGATGGGAGGGGGGAGATGAACTTTCTTCAGTCTCCGCAGGAAACAGAGGCGCTGCTGGGCTCTCTTGGCTATGGAGTTGATGTTGAGGGACCAGGAGAGGTTCTCTGTGATGTGGACACTGAGGAACCTGGTGCTCCTGATGATTTCCACAGCAGAGCCAGTGATGTTGAGTGGGGCGTGGTCACCTCGCACTCTTTGGAAGTCGACAACCATCTCCTTAGTTTTGTCTACATTCAGAGACAGGTTGTTGATTCTGCACTAGTCTGTTAGCCGCTGCACCTCCTCTCTGTATGCTGACTCATCATTCTTGTTGATCAGACCCATCACAGTCGTGTCATCAGTGAACTTGATGATGTGGTTTAAGCTGTACTTTGCAGTACAGTCGTGACTCAGCTGAGTGAACAGCAGTGGACTAAGCACACAGCCCTGAGGGGCGCCGGTGCTCAGTATGGTGGTGCTGGAGATATTATTACTGATCCTGACTAATTGAGGTCTCTCAGTCAGGAAATCCAGGACCCAGTAAGCAATTCAGTTCAGTTCTATTAGCTGTAACTCTGTAAATGGAGGCTGTACTTCATCCTGGCTGGTGTTCCATTACAGCCTCTGAGAGAGTGACTAAAACAAGTGTGAATCAAAGTGACTTTTACACACAAACCAGTCATCAGAAACACTTATAATGAAGAATCAGAGAACTTCAAGGTGACTCTTGAAAAACGTCTGTCAGATAGTGATCAAAATGTTGCTATAAGGAAACAGGAAAGCAAAAAACATGCATTCTACTTAAACCTGCTTAACCACATTTTCCTGCACCTTAGATTGTGTCCTGCCCCCTACTAAACCTGGCAGCTGTGTACAAATGAACATGACTATAGAACTGTTGGCAGAGAAGAAGACCCAAGGGTGCCATTCTCTCTTAAAAGAACTCTTGACTGTAAGAGATGGGAGGGGAAACACAGGGAAAAGAGTGACCAAAAAGAGAAACACAACATGAAGGTGGTGGACACACTAATTAATAAATACACAGAAGACAACATGATAACAAACAACCACGTAGTAACACATATTACAACACATTTCAACATTTACAACATTAATTGCTTCCTGAGAGACACTTTGCAAGGCCAGTGGCCCAGGTTCAGCTGTGTTGGTGACCACACAGCCCAAATAATATCCTTGTCTGGCCTGTCCAGCACAAATGCACCCCCAGGCACCCCCAGTCCTTTCTCAGGTCTCTGTCCTTGGTGCAGTGGCGTACACTGCTCTGGGTACTCTGTCTTGTTCTGCCCCTGGCGGGCAGCCAAACACTAAAACCATGGGCATTCTCTCCATCAGAGACTGAGTGGGTCATGTGACTACTGTGGGGGTCTTTTCTTTGCTGTGCACTGATCACAGAAGTGCACATATAGCTTCACATCCATTCAGCAGCCTGGCCAGCAGAACCTCTGCTGCAACTGCTTCAGCGTGCACCTTGCCTAACACCACCTCCCTAAGGCTGTGTGGCACCAGCGGCTGCAACACGCTTCCCAGGCACCGGCTCCTCCTACACATGGCACAACATCTAATCATGCATCCCAACCAGCACAAAACGCCTTAGCAGTCAAGTCTGCCGAACTGAGTTTCTGTCCAGTCTGGAGCCATCCGTGTGTCCAAGAGAGCTCTGCGTCCTGCTCTTGGGCTCAGTGGAACCCCTCAGATCACAGTAAGCCATGGTGCCCTCGCTCTGATGGTGCACCCTGCCCCCGGAGATCCACTAACCTGCTCTGACACTGCGTGTTCAGCTCCTCAAGAGCTGGTGGCTCCCCCCACAGGAAGGCCACACCGCCGGGGAGCCCCGGCTTTCCACCACTACCCACCGCAAACAACTTCACCTCATTTGTTTGGACAACCCAGTGTTCTTTAAAGTATATTTTGTGACCTCACTGACTATAACCTACTATAATCTTGTTACACAGTGTCAGGTGATATGCACTTTCCTCAGCTGAAGTACAGAGAGTGGCATCGGACTTTTAGCCCTGAAAGGGATGGTTTGGGCATGTAATCTAGAACTTTGAAACATGCAGCTTTGGATAATTTATTATTCTCTGTTTTCCACTGAAGGATATTATTGTTTCAGGTAGCATGAATAGCTCAGGGAATCTACCATGGCATGTGTTAGACACAGAGACAAGAGACATGTTACGTCTCATACAAATACTCTTTCTCCTCCCGTAATGAGTCTGTTTATTCCTCTGACTGTCTGTCTGTTGTTCTCTGCTTTGTAGAGCTCAGAGCTGTGGTGTTTGGGGGGAAGTTTGCTGGGAAGACCACACTGATCAATGCCGTGTTTGGAGAAGGCTTCCTGCCGAATCAGAAGAGGACTGCTCAGTGTGAGAAGCTACAGGGAAATGTGTGTGGAAGAGAGCTGACGCTGGTTGACACTCCAGGCTGGTGGAAGCATTTTCCACTGAGCGACACTGCAAACTTTCTGAAAAAGGAGCTCATTCGAGGAGTTTCTTTGTGCCATCCAGGACCCCACGCGATCCTGCTGGTCACCGAGATTGACATTCCATTCACAGAGAAGCACAGGAAAGCTGCAGTGGATCACCTTGCACTCCTTGGTGACCAGATCTGGACACACACTCTTGTGTTGTTCACTAGAACCCGCTCTCTGGGGAAAAGAACTATAGAACAGCACATTGAAAAAGAGGGGGAAGCTCTAAAGTGGCTGATAGAGAGATGCGGGAACAGATATCATGTCTTTGACAGTACAGTCTCAGATAAAACATCTCAGGTGACGCAGCTGCTGGAAAAGATTGAGGATACAGCGCGAATAAATGATGGTGCTCATTTCCAAATTGAGGCAAAGATACTGGAGGAGGCTGCAGAGTGGAAGAGGACTGTGATGACCAGAGCAAAGTCCAGAGAGTTAAAACAACTAGAACAAAATACACATCTTGACAAAGAGGGTAAGTTAGTCAGCTGGCACCCTTTAAAGATGGGTGAAAAAGATCATGAAACATGAGCATCTTTATGGTTGATTAGCTCAATCTCACACTGAAAAAAATCAAAAACATTAAAAAATCAAATCTCTAATTGAAGTAAATTTAGTCGTAGCTCTTTGAGTTACTACTTACCAATTTACGCAACCTCCATTTGCCAACATAACTGTCTTTTCCGGATTCTGGAGAGTCCTCATCCTTGCATTTGGACTCACCCGACTGATCAGTGGGATTTAGATCAGTGGGCTGGGATGGCCATGTCAAAAGCTTGACTGTGTGGTCACTGAATCGTTTTTGTGTGAATTTGAATACGTTTTGGATCATTGCCTTGCTAGAAGATCCAATGACAATCCAGTTTTAGCTTTTTGGCAATGGCAGATTTTCATTTAAAATCAGCTGCTACTTTACAGTCCCAAAACATCACAGATCCTCCACTGTATTCAACAGTGGGGTGAGGTACTTTTCTGTGTAACTATCCTTTTTCACACCAAATCCAGCTTCAGTGTTTGTTGCTGAAAAGCCCTATTTTTGGTTCATCTGGCCAAAGAGTCTGGGCCCGGGTTCACGAAAGCTTTCTTAAGAAACAACTTGTGAAACTTGTGACACTAAGAAGTTCATAAGAATGTTCTTAAATGCAATTCTCAGAAAAAAAGTTAAGTTCTCAAATATCCTATTAAGACGATCTTAATTATTTCCTTAAAATTTTCTTGAGATATTATTCATTGTTGTCTTGCCCAGGAGTGTTGCATTTTACAGCTTGCCATAATACATTTTTGAGTTTGTACTAACTATTATTTCTGTTGAGACGGGAAAATGGGGAAAAACATCAAACCAAGTATTTAAAACATTTTATTGAACAAGAACAAGAGTTGATGATGGAAGAAACAGCCAACAGGAAAAAATAAAAAACTATAATAATTGCGGGGTGACAGTAAAAAGTAGGAAAGTATGAGTCGAGGATGAGGAGCAGCAGAGGCAGCGTTTGGGTTTGATAAATTTAAACGCTCAGCTGGTCAACTCTCATGGCCTGAGATGAGTGTGAGGCTGTCGTACGATTAAGAACGCATTTAAGAACATAATGTTTTCAAGAAAACACTTGTTCTTAGGATTATGCTTAAGAAAATAGTTAAGAAAAAATAAGACAATTCTTAAGAAGTTATTTAAATTGTAGCAATTTTCTATAACTTTCTTTTCAAGAATGAAGTTGAAAACACATTTCAGAAGATTTTGTTTCCTAAGACACTTTTGTGAATCCGGCCCTAAATTCACTACAAATCCAGTCACTTTAGACTCCTTGATTATTGCTCTAACAGTAGGCATGGGCATTTTCAGGCATTTATTATGCACTATTTACATATAACCAGCCTGATTTGTAGGGGTGTGTACAGCTATGCCTAGTGGCTTCCACAATAGAGGTTTTGAACAGGGTCAATTTGGACTCTGTGTCCCCAACCTCCGTCAGCGCATGAGAAAAGTTCTGACGGAGGTGGGAGATAAAATCATTCTGGAGAGGGGCCTCTGCCAGTCGTTCCCAGCATACCATCACTTTCCAAATGGGACTACCAGGTCTGACCACTAGTTGTCACTGCCATCTGATCCAACTCACCACCAGATGGTGATGGGTTGGCAGCTCAGAACCTCTCTTCACCTGAGTGTCCAGAACATATGGTCCCAAGTCAGATGAAACAATGAAAAAATTGATCATTGACCTTTGA